AAGGTTATCATCGCAGGGGGCACGGTCCCTTTCGGATAGGACCATGAGCTGCATATTTTATATGAGGTGTTCATCAAACATGCAGCTATCTCCACGTTGGTAGATACTCGACCAAGGCAATGCATCTCGGCATGCATATTCCATCTCTGTATGGAGCACAGATACAGCCGCAATAAACGACCTGTCTTTAGAGTCCAAGCCCGACACGGGTTGTGACCGACGTTGCCATTTGAGGATTCTCTATCTTGACGACCTTCCAAGATAGCCCTTGCTTGACAAGTCGGGGTGTAGTCCCCCTCGCGACTGGTGACGCCTACATAGGGTTATGTCTTGTCTGTTGAGCGAGACCTGGCCGCCTCCCCTGCGGCCCTATCATTTTGGGAGTCATACTGCAAGGCAGGGGACTTTGTGCGCAGCCTGCCCAATTCTACAGATACCCAGATGTTTCCGGTGGACTACATACAGATTGTTGCAAAGTTTACGGGCAGGCAAGAGCACGGCTGGGGTTATTAGCGCATCCCTTTGTGCATTGCGTGCTGTAGTATCAATGCTTTGCAGACTTTCAGCGCACTCTACTCTCCAAACGTCAGCGTGCATGACATGCTCCGAATTACCTAGTTGGGTACGAACCGAACATCACTGACGCTTGCAACTTCCTATACTGCGCATTGTCCTGATCTTCTGTTCTGAGACTTTGTTGGTTGATCAATATCATGATCGACATTCAGCTGATGATGGGTTGTGTGTGTGTGTGTCTGTTGGTCGTATACTCGTATACTAGTTGCACATGTGTGTGAGCCTGTGTCAACTCAAGTGTGCGCCTGAGAGAGTCAGAATGCAGACGAATGGATCGTGATAGATTACAGGGAGCTCTCAACTCGCGAGGGATAGGTTATGACAGGGGATGTTGTTAGCGACTGAGTATCAGATCGGCCCGCTGCGGGTCCTAGATATGCGTCGATCGACCTCCTGCGTGCGACATTTTTATTGTTGTTGTTCAGGGTCGAGGGTCCAACTAGACGAGATGCAATTCTGCCCGACAAGGACGTGTTTGAGGAATGCGGTGATGGATACTGGAGATGCGTCTACTGCGTCGTTGCGGAGAAATGACAGGACGTCCACAGAAACGGATGTAACTCGATGCGTTGCAGATCGTGGGGTTCTGTCTGTGAGAAAGACGAAGTCGCGAGAAACCATGTCATAGAACCCTGACTATTACACCAGTATCAACATATGATGACTGACGATAACACATATGTGATTAACTAGTGTCGAACTACTGTACCTGCTATCACAGTCAAATCGACTGATTAATACTCTTGGCCTCTGACGAGCGGGGACTATCTCCATATTGACTGCAAGGTATAGCTTGAAATGTCTCGGTCAACTCAGCGTCATTCTCCACGATCCGGTTAAACTATGCTATGGTGTATTATGCATGCAGTTGAGGGTCAGAAACTGGCGGTCAAGTTTTCTGTAACTTGATGTTATGTATATGCGAGAATTGAGATTAATGCGAGACGTGTGGTGTTGTCTGTGTGGTTGCCGCTGGTGGTGAGAGCTAACAGGCGGCCACTAACAACGGCCAAAGGATCTGAGATTAGGTCGATCTTTTTAGGTCCAAAGACTAAAGTGCTCTAAAGCCTGCAAAAGGGAGTCACGAGGTGTTATTTGCAAGCAACGACCCGTACAAGTTCATGCATGGTCCTTTATGATGCCTACAGCAGAGCACTATAGATATGGATATGGATGCTGAGTTGGCGAATCCTCCAGGACGCTAGACTTACTGCAGCTCTATGTGCTGCAGCAACCCGTAGTTTAGCTTACCTTGGAACCCAACGGTGAAGTAAAGTCTGCAACGGCGCCCTATTTTCTGAAGATCATTATTGGTTCTGAACTCAATTGGAGTGGTAACGAATAACCGGTCTGCAAAGTCATCATCCAACATGACCTCTTATGCTTAGTTAGGTAATGAGCTATATCGTTGAGGGGGCCGGGACCGGGACCGGATGAGGGGAAGCTCTCAAGCTCAAGCTCACTCAAGCAAGCTTCAAATCTTAGCAACCATGATAAGGTAAAACAAAACAAGGCAAGGCAACACCAGGTAGAAGCAGGCAGTCAAGACAGGACAAGACACAACATCAGTGAAACCAGATACAACAGTATATCTCATGGTGTGTCTGCCTGATCAACTCTACATTGCAACCATGCCATATACCAGAAACTAGCAGTGGCACAGCAGGTCAGTTGGTGTGATGCCTGCCACAGCCATGGGATTGTCCTGTCTAAAGCCTGGAAGGCTGAGACGTACAGAATCCCAGATATCGAAAGGCCCATGTTTCGCATGTCCGAGCAACCCAAGGCCCCGGTCTGGCAGCAGCAGATCCTCCGCATGGGGAAAGGGAAGCGATGCGATGTCATGATAACGAATGCAAATGCATGCATGCATGAGTATGACTGTAAGCACAACTGTATGATGCCACGACAGTCAACGTGAGTCCCGGCCGAGAGGTAATAGGCCGGGCCAAAGCCAAAAAGAGGGGTTTGATACGGTAAGAAGATGCCCACGTATTGATAACCGGAATCTTACTGCTGATGCTGATGAAGAATTGCGTACATATCACACATCATGCCGTTATACCGGTGGGCAGTGTCAAAGAGTCATATGCAAGGCAGAGCAGACAGGGTATGGCAAGGCAAGGTAGGGTAAGGCAGGGCAGAGCAGGGCAACGAAGGAGGTGGCGTGTAAAACAAAGAACAAACATCTGTAGGTAGAGGCATGCAAAGCAAGGATGCATCTTGCAAGGAATTAACAAACAAGTGTAATATCCATGTCACCAACTTCTCATTGTCCCTTCAGACAACAAGGTACAACCACCACTTGTACCACGGCTGGCTACATGAACCTAGCTCACCGAGTTTACAACGCAGGTTTCATCGATCCCCTCACTCACTCTACCTAACTCAACTCTATCAAACTGCTGCAACTTAACTCCACGAAGCTTTCCGTGATCCTTGCTTGAGTTTGTCATCGCACGGATGCGGGGTTACTCGATGTTAGTTGATTAGCGGTAGTGATAGTTTAGCTGCTACTGTACTAGGCATGTCATCCACACCCATTTCGATATCAATTGTCTGAGACACCGTCTTCGGGATGTTTCGATACAGTCATATCTTTGAGACATTCAACAAAGACAACCGGCAAGATTTATGCTGTTGGTGCCGGTTCATACCGCAACTTTGTTGCCAGCGGCTGCTCAGCTTCACCAAAAACGCCCCCTCCATCTCAGGCACAAGGCACAAGGTACCAGGCACCAGGGGACAATGACAATCATACATCGTGATGATGCTTTGGGTATGTATCTTGTGACCACAAACTCCGAACTTCCCGTGTCTTGCTCAAGTCCACGGGGGTTTGTTCTGTATGACTCCCAAGGACTTACATCACAGCGCTCAAGGTAACGTATCCGTATCCGCACTACTTGTACCACGCCAAAACAGCTGTTATATCGGCTCAGCCTTGGATGATTCTGTCATAAATCATCTCTTGGTAACCTCAGCTCCTTTTCTTGTAGTTTCATGATCTACATGGCCTCGTAATGGTGTATGTAATATGTGCCCTCCGCTATTAGCTGAGCACAGTAGTACTACTAGTATCTCGTTCGTATAATCAACGAATTACTGAAACCAACGGACGAAACTTTCCGTGTCTACGGTTACTACCCTATAATTAAAAGCTCGAGTCCTAAATTAGACATTACTGGTTATTATGTCAATAGATTTAAGCTCACAGCCTACTTTGCCTCTTAGTCACTGTGGCTGACATGGTTGTTGGGTGTCAAATATCAATTCAATTTCCAAGCCAGCCTCACCGTATGGTCTGAGACATGTACAATTAATAATGGCTGCCTTTTCAGGGTTCAACCTGTCTTAACGTTATGAACTGCGTTCATAATTGCCTAGCTTGAACAGTTGATATGTGATCGACTGTAGGGTTACAATGAATATGCTTTTGTCGGCAGTGAATTGACCTCCGAGTATCCGGTCTCTCACGAAATATTGGACTAGGGATCATCGATGCAGGGCCTCTTCAACACCCGCTTTCAACCCTCACAACAGAACCCTCGCTTAGACAAACTCTTCAATGTCATTGATATTTCTGCCGAGGCTTTGTAGCAAGACTAGGATACAATAAAAAAAGCCTCAATGGCACTCAACAAGACCCATTATGCCACCGGACAAGGCCAGGGTATGTCTGGTGATACGCAAACACAGAACCGAAAGCAATTGCGGCATATACACGAAACTGGGAGTAACTTCTCCGGACACCAGGCTTGTAGAGATATTCGCTTGTCATATCACTGAGACATGCGCTTAGCCAAGCTCTGATATTGCCCATACTCGCGCTACTGTGGTCCAATTTACGACCCAGCCATGTAGGAGAATAGCACCTAAGCCAGCATCACAATGGAGCTTGCAGCAGGGGTTTGGTGTTTTTCGACTCCAGATCTTTCTCGCCGTGCCGAGTTTATCCTCGACCCATGCCCCGATGGATGCCAAGAGATATCAAGGCCGACAATTGACGGTCATGTCTGAGCGACATGGTCAAGGTGGGCCGTAGCCATGATACTATCCCCTCGTCAAAAGCATCGATTGAGGCTAAGCAGCAGATCGAAATGTGCCCAATCGAACTAATCTGACCGTTGCGATGATTTTCGGCCACGGTCTGCGATTGGCAAATTGCAAGACTGACCATGACAGGAGTCCGTCTACTTCTGGCGCCCGCAGCCAGTCCGAACACCTTTCAGGGATCTGGCGGCCGTATCCGCAGTTCCCGTCCGTCAACCCCAGTATTCGGGTCAGCTCTCGTCGACCTGCCATTGTGATTGCATGCATGGTCACGCCATTCTAGGACGTCATGTTGGTTGATATGCTTCTGAGACACTCTGCTTGCATGCGCGGAGTTTTCGACACCCCGAAGAAAGTGTAATCGTGATCGGTTATGGGATATCCTCTCCAACCGGCACTTGAGTTGACGATATCCAATTTTCCATCATGGCTTGACCTTCTGGCCGGCCTTTTGCAACCCCACCGCTGTTGCTGGCTGCAGCGCTCGCTCTCTTCTTGACCACGAGGCACAGTACCAGGCCATAGATTGCAAATCCCTCATATGATACATCCATTGCAAGTTTCTTCTTGTCATCGTTTGTGTTGAGACCGTCGTCCTCCTTGGCCCGGGGTCTCTTGTGCGGGGGCGCCTCCGTGTCTGAGTCGATTTCAATGGCCGAGGCTGTTTCATCATCTTCAAAAGCCTCAGAATCATCTTGATCCGGGTCTGCTGTTCCTCTCTGGCGCTTGCTGCGTCTTGTCGTTGTTTCGGCGACTGGAATATCTGACAATCTCACCTCATCCTCATCATCCTCTTGTAGAACTGGGGCGCGAAATTCATCGTCAACATCTACAGGAACGCTGTCCGTTTCTCCGATAAGCTTAGATGAGTTAGACTCAAGCTTCGGTGGCAGCTTGTCCCTGAAATGTTTGGTCCTGTAAATAAGAGAATGTCTTGTGCTTGTTTCTGTCAAGAATATCGAGACCTCGAATTCATCTAAGCAAGATAAGCCGTTGAACAAACCGTCCAGCATAAAGGATGGGCTTACCGGAGACGATCACATCCTTGATACTCTTCTTTTTGCTCTTCTTCTTCATCATTCTCTCTTTCTCTTCACGAAGCTTTGGTAGGACTAAAGGACGGATGCTCTCAATAACCTTGGGCAATATTGGATTCCGAGGGTTGAGAAGCCATGATTGAGCTAGAGCGGGATTGTCGAGATAAATTCGGCACTCAAGGACCGAATATTTGGATATTCTGAGATACCGACGCACTGGAGCCATTTCGTTGGCGTTCACTCAAGATGAGGTTGTCGAGGGAAGCGTGAATGAGACCTTGAAGTGGTTGAACTAGGCTTCAATTCGGTGATGTAATAGGCGATCGTCCACTGTAAGTCGCGACGCGGATACGCTAAAATTCAAGCTTCCACTGTAATGAAGTGCTGTGACGAGCTTGGGCTCAGCCTTGCAGCTGGTCCGAGCGGGCGCATCGCCAATTGAACGCTTCGAGGTAGCGTCAAAAATCTCCATTGCTCAGCCGTGCCGACCTCAACTCTCGAAATCAGCCGATCAAGTGCGACATGGTCCTCGAGCGATCATGCTCAAATCTTGGAAGTCGACCCTGAGACTACCTCGGTCGAGTTTCCCGTACGTTCACCTTCTATAGAGCCTCCGAAATTCGAAAATGGAGAGCTAATTTAGCCGATTTCGCAGTGCTCGACCGAACCCCAAGCTCGCACCAGAGTATCTTCGACAATGTACCGATGACCTGTATGAATGGCAAGGGGAGAATCGCCCGGAAGAAAAGCCATTCACACTTCATGATGGTCCTCCGTATGCCAACGGCAACCTTCATGTTGGCCACGCCCTGAACAAGGTGCTCAAAGATATGACTGTGCGTGTAAAGGTGCAGCAAGGCCGGAAAGTGACATACCGACCAGGCTGGGACTGTCATGGACTTCCAATCGAGATGAAGGCATTGGGAACAAGCGCTACTAAGGGCTTGACTCCTGTACAGATCCGGGATACAGCGCGGAAGTTAGCTTCCAAGACAGTCAAGGATCAGATGAAGGGATTCCAGGCACTTGCTGTCATGTCTGATTGGGAAAAGAGATGGACAACGATGGACCGAGATTTTGAGATCAGGCAACTGCGTGTCTTTCAGAATCTGGTACGTCGAGGTTTGATTTACCGTAAGCACAAGCCGGTCTACTGGTCAGCTTCATCGAGGACAGCGCTCGCTGAGGCAGAGTTGGAATACCGAGACGACCATGTCTCGAAAGCTGCATATATCAGGTTCCCAATTGTTTCCGACTTGTCCTCGATACCTGAACTGGCCAATTTTAACGGCAAGCTATATGCAGCTATTTGGACAACAACGCCCTGGACTCTCCCAGCCAACCGCGCTATTGCCATCCACAACGACATCTACTACTCCTTGATCCAAGTTGGCTCGGATGGTTACCTTGTTGCGTCAGATCGAGTGGAGGCTATGAGGGATATGCTCCCAGACCTCCAAGTCGTGACTGACTCCATTCATGGTTCCAGCTTGAAGGGTCTCGAGTACCAGAACCGACTACGAGGCAAATCTGCCCCATCTCAACCCATTATTGAGGCCGATTTTGTCACTGCTGACTCTGGTACTGGTCTTGTTCACATTGCCCCAGGACATGGACAGGATGATTATGAAGCTTGCTCCAAACTTGGCATTGAGGCATTCGCTCCTATCGATGACGGCGGTTTCTTCACCAAAGAGGCCTACCCCGATGATCCTGAGAAGCTCACATCCGCACCCTCCATCTTGGATGGCGGGAGCCAATCTGTCCTGGACTTGGTAAATGACGATGTGCTTGGAACCCATAAGCTGCGCCACAAATACCCTTATGACTGGCGAACGAAGCGGCCTGTTGTGACTCGTGCTACGGCCCAATGGTTTGCTGATGTCGGAAGCATCAAGGAGGATGCTCTTGCGGCTTTGAAGGACGTCCGCTTTGTGCCGGAAGGTGGTCGTGTTCGTCTCGAGAGCTTTGTCAAGGGTCGCAGCGAGTGGTGTATATCGCGCCAACGCTCATGGGGTGTTCCCATCCCAGCGCTGTACGATGAGAGCGGCAATGCTGTGATGACAGTAGAGACCATCGAGCATATCATCTCAGTTATGCAGGAGCGTACTTCATCTGCTTGGTTCTCCGATAGCCCAGATGACCCTGCTTGGATTCCTTCCAACCTCGAGGGCAAGTACCGCCGAGGTACTGATACTATGGATGTTTGGTTCGACAGCGGCAGCTCTTGGACGGAGACTGAGGGGCCAGCCGATGTTTACCTTGAAGGATCTGACCAGCATCGTGGTTGGTTCCAATCCAGCTTGTTAACTTATGTCGCAACACAAAAGTCAAAGGAGACTACCAACAAGATCTCTGCCCCTTTCAAGACTTTGGTCACGCACGGCTTTACCCTAGATGGCCAAGGCAAGAAAATGTCAAAGTCACTGGGCAACATGATCGTTCCTAGCCAGGTTATGGATGGTAGCCTTTTGGGACCTGTCAAGACTAAGAAAGGTCAACAACAGTCTGCTGGTCTTGGCCCAGATGCTGTTCGCTTGTGGGCAGCAAGTGCTGACTTCACAACGGATGTGCTCATCGGACAAACCATTCTTCAGCCTGTTCAAACTTCACTGATTAAGTACCGAACGATTATCAAGATGCTTCTTGGGTCACTGAATCAAGAAGCCCGCCAGACTCCTTTGACAAAGTTGGACCAGATTGCACTTGTACAGCTCTCGGATACCATGTCCCAGGTGATGGAATCATACAACGACTTCGAGTTTTACAGAGCGGTTAGTATGATTAACCGCTGGGTCGCAGCCGACCTCTCAGCATTCTACTTGGAGGGTCTGAAGGACCGGCTGTACTGTGGTGATGGAGGTGGTGTTCTTGAACCCATCTTCATCGGACTCCTGCGCATGTTGGCACCGATTACCCCTATGCTTGTCGAAGAAGCATGGTCGCATCGGCCAACATGGATGGCCGAAGACACGTAAGTTGCCAATTGATGCTCAAACATGATTACATGCGCTAATAACAATTAGGTCTTTGGAAAACCCCGCTCGTCAGCTATACAACGCTCCCCTTATTGACCCTCTGCGTTTGACGCTTCCTCAAGATGTGGTGCGCAGGGATCAATCCACCATCACAGAGGTTCACAGCGCTGTAAAGGCAACACTAGAAGAGGCACGGACAGCCAAGGTGCTTGGCAGCTCTCTCCAGAGTTCAGTCATCCTTGAGGTCGAAGACGGCAAAGCGGCAGCTGTTCTTGGACGCTATGAAGATGAACTGCATGATATCTTTGTGGTGTCGTCGGTACAATTGAACCAACCTCTTCCTGAGAAGCCTGAATGGGCCTACCAGAAGGAGTTTGAGATTCAAGATGCCAAGATCAAGGTGCATGTGCTTCCACCAAAGCAGGAGAAGTGCTCTCGATGCTGGAAATATGTGGCGCCTGTCGAAGACGCGCTGTGTGGCAGATGTGAGGAGGTTGTCGGTACTTTGCCAGCCGCGGCGTGAGAGAAAAGAGGAAACAGGAAGAGAATGACGGCGATCTTGATGATATACCCCTCTTTCTCTCGATCATGTACAATACCATGTTTCATGCAAGCTACCAAGGTCCTCCTAACCCAGCTACGGGCTTGGAAAGAGATCTGTATCATTAGACAAAACAACCACTGCAAGAAATGTTTAAATAAAACTACTCAACTAAAATTAACCCGCCCCAAACTCTATCAGTTGAGTCAAATTCCAAGCGTATGACTCTATTTCTGAAATCGGGGATGCCCCTGACACTCCCCGCCATTGATCTGTGTTCAGCCAGTTCCCGCGTGCTGACTTAGACCTTCCTCTGCCGTGGCTAAAGTTGGCTTCTGGTTAAGTCAAATTTCTTTCATGTGATTATCACTTATCGGTAGTTATGGACCTGAGACAAACCGGTACTTGGAATAAAGTGTAGGTTACCCCTTGAAAGCTTGTATTCAATCAATGATGAGCTGCCACTTCGAGACATGCGTGCGTCACTCCCCGCCACGCTTGTGTCTAGGATAGGTGGGAAAGGCGCAGAGCCAAAACGCCCTGTAGGTCAGCGGTCTTGTAGCGTCTCATCCATTCCCGTGACGTTCTAGGACCCTTAGCTCTACAGGCGCCTTTACTGTACCGTCCAATCTCAATCTCCATTGTCCAAGGATTATCCATAACAACTCATTGGATCCAATTCTTTCCCATCAACGGTCCGCATATGCAGCATTAAAAAGTATTAACAAAAGTCTTGTCGCTTGTTCAACCAACGCATTCATCTATCGCTGCGACGTGTCTTCGTGTACCTTCTCTAGAGAAAGCCATGTCCTCCTGAGGCGGATTCCCTCGCCGGGCATCCACTCCGATCTCAACCTTATTTACGCCGTCATAATCACCGTAATTAGCCCCCCCGAAAACCATCGTCACCAAGGACAACACTTTTGACTAGGATCTTGCGATTTTGATCGACAAGGACCCTTGAAATCACGAAAAACAATGCTAAGCTGCTTTTTCCATCAACTCTGACGACAACTCCCCGCTCCCATCATCATCGCGAGCGTACAGGTCATTCTTTTATATGCAGTAACCATCGCGCTATGGCCGACTCTCGTGCTGCCTCCTCGTTGAGTGCATATGGCAGACGGGATGGTCTGGGCACCCCCGAGCCTCCAGGGAGATTTAGTTATGATGTCGCGGAAAGGGGCGATCATAGCATCAACGGCCTCCTCCATGTTCCTCCCGAACGACCCCTCGCCTTTTCCGATGACGAATCCCTTCCACGATTCCATCACAAATCTCGTGGTGCTGCAGCTGCTACCAGTGGCCTCCAAGCTGGCCGACCGAAACGAGCCCGTTCAAAGCGACCGCATAAGACCCAACCGAGCGGTGCTTTCTTGCTTCAGGAGCCTGTAATTGCCGATGACGACTCTAATAAACAGCGACGCGGACACCGAAGTAAATCTCGTCATAAGGGGAAAGATGTTGAATCACATTCATCCAGCAGTCAACGGGAATTTGGCCTCGGTATAAGCTCCGGTATTGGCTCCGGTAGTGGTCCTCGAGCTCGCGTCGTGTCGCCAGATACATCCCAGGAGGACCTTCATATATCAAAGAGGAATGATGGTCAAAAGCGAGGCCGACGGGCGCACACGTCGCACCCAGGCACTGCGCTTGACGTGGACTCAACCCAAATTGTTAATATGGCGTTGAACTTGAGCGAGTCACGACGCATTGCGTCGCGGCGCAACATCAGCCGTGGAAACCCTCCTCGTTTGGGGCCTGTCCAAGACTCTCAGGCTGGCAGTAACCTCAGAGCTCATCTTCAACAACAAAGGAAGGCTACCAGAGGAGTTTCACCAATTCAGAACCAGTCTCTTACACCGCGATTGCCAGGTGTAAGGTCCAGTAGTCCTCTGCGCCCTCCTCCTTTCGAACCTGCTGCCGACGTCTCTTACCGTTATCACTTTTCGACTTCAACCTTGGCAAGGGCGCAGAAAGCCAGGGAGCACTTGGAACTGATGGCACAGTATAGACGCCTGCTACAAGTCCTTCCTCCTCTCAAGACCGGCTATGATAGAAATTCAGCTTCAAGTCCTGCCGGCTCGCCTACGGAGGAGAAGATGAGAGCTTTCGGAAACAGGGAGCTTATGGTACCTCTCGGTCGAGAATACAACCCTTTGCAGTATATCCGCAACCGGAAAGTAAGAGCCCGTGAACGAATGGCTATTGATGGCGACAAGCAAGGATTTTCTGACGTCGAATCGGTCAAAGAATGGGTCAGCGAAGCAGAAGAGAGAGTCAGGGAGCTACCTTCCAGTGACGGTTCAGTGATACCACCATTTCCTGCGGCGGAGGAGGTTGATTCCCAGCTGGCTGCAGATTCGGCCGCCCCTCGAGCCCGACGTCCACGAGTGGACTGGTTCTTTGAGCCATGCGATCTAGTTGCAGATGCTTATTGGCTTGAACAAGATCACCACAAACAGTTGATTGAGGACAGAAACTTGAATAAGATATACCCACAAACGGAGGAAGTCATGAGCAGGCCAATGTCGAAGCAGTCAGAGGATCTTGAACTTGTTGGAAGCGGAGTTTCACCTTTCACAACTAAGAAGATGGAGGAGACAAATGGCAATGCAGACCCATACGATTACAAACTCACGAAAACCGACACAGAGGGGTCGGAACCGGGTCATAGAGATCGGGCCAGACAAAAACTCCACCGAGCCAGCGGTTCCATACATCATCGCCGTTTCAGAAGAAGGGGGTCGTCTTCAGATGATTCTGGCAGTGAGGATGATGCGCCAAATGATGGAAGAGCACGCCGAGGCACAATCTCCAGCCACGAGACCGAATTGTTAGAGAAGCAAATGCTGGAGATGGTCGCTCGAGACATGAGACAACAACAGAGACTTTCTCACGTCCCAGAGACCGAGGCTGAGTATAACGAAGTTGAGAGCTTGACTTCGCCTGAACGCAATTCACAAGCGAAGCTCTCTAATGGCACCCCTGACCATAAAGATTCAGAGCCTCGACCTACGCTCAACAGAGTTTCTTTGGATATTCCGCCCCTATCAAAGCTGGGAAGACATACCGGTGGGGGATCCCTGCATGGAAGAAACCGCAAGGAAGGCTTCGATTCTCCTCAACCGTCGCCTGAACTCGCTCCACGGGTCAGCCTATCGGCACCTCCTACTGGTTTGAACCTCTCAGCTCCTTCTTCCCGCTCATCATCTCCGTCTAGAAACCCGTTCACAAAGGTCAAGCAAATTTTCAAGGACAAGATCCGCGATGAGCCCGAAGAACAAATTGTGGAAACAGAGGATTCCAGCAGAAGACCTTCTACACCGGAACCTCTTCCCCCAATGGAAGCGAAGCCGCTTGAACGACATCCTTCTAATTCGCGACAGACCTTTGAAGCCCATAGACATCAACGCAGCGTCAGCAGTGTCAGAGATGATCAAGTTGGTCTGCGGGGTATGTTCAAAGGTCCTCGTATCGATACAGTGATCCGAGGTAGCGTCTCGAAAATCGGGGACATTCTATGGAAGAAAGATACCCCCATGGAAACACCCAGCGACATCCTATCATCAGATGAATCTGACAATGATCAACCCAAGGGACGATCATCAAGAATTTCACTCAATCTGTCCCGGGTGAATTCGAAGCGTAACAAGCCCGAACCACAGCATGGTGCAAAACATTTCTTGGACGCAATGCCGCAGTTTCAGCCTATGGCAGAGACGCATGGTCAGTCAACGACCGACGTCAGGAAGAGACAGTCCTCGCCATCTCGTGCCCATATGAACAGACCTCCCCCACTCGATATCTCGAGTATATCCAGTCCTCTCAAACAAGAAGCCGAGAAGGTATCCGCATTTGAGCCCGCAATGTCAGAAGCGGAGTCATGCCAAGAGAGTGCCAAAGATGGCCTTCGAGGCACAGAGAAGGCTTCAGATGAGGCGATACCAATAGTTCGGTCCGATGAACCCGATAATTTCAGAGCAAGGAAATGGTCCATCGCCAACCAGCCCATCTCTCAAGAAATACGGCTTTCAAGACGTGAAGTCGCTCGACTACGCACACTTGTTCTTACCTCTGGCATCAAAGCCATGGAAATCTCTCGTCGTTCACATGAGTTGAAGAAGCCTCTCTCCAACGATAGCCTTCGAGAACTAGGCAACTCTCCACAGTCAAATATGGTAGGCGTACCATGGGTTGACATAGCCAAGTTGACTCCCAAGAAGTCTCTACCATCAGATGATGCAATTCCCTGCTCCGATCATTTCCGTCTGGCCAGTGAGACTCTTGGTGTAGCTATCCAGCACTCAATGGAGCAATGGCAGACATCGGCAGACAAGTTTACAGGACAAACAAAACCAAGGCTCGAAGAGCGTATCTGGTGTGTTCGTTCACGAATCGCAGATGAGCTGTCAGGCATGACACGCGAGGCATCAGACCAAGCCGATGAGACTGGAAGAGACTTGGCATTGGGTCAGCTCCTCAAGGTCAAGCATGTCACTGACTTGACCGAAAAGATGATGCGCAACAGACGTAGACGATTCAGATGGGTCCGTCGTGGCATGTGGTCCTTCGTTGAGTGGACCCTTGTTGGCTTCATGTGGTACGTCTGGTTCGTCGTCACCATTTTCAGACTCTTCCTGGGCCTCGGGAAAGGCGTTTGGCAAGGCTTCAGATGGCTCCTATGGCTGTGAGCTCCAAGACAATCCTCTACACTATGACATGGTTTGCAAGTGACCGGAGATCACAGGAGTTTGCTTCATGGGTTAGGTGTTGTTAAAGGGTTCCCATCATTCCTTCTTATCCTTATCCTTACCATTCTTACACACATTCTTATTTCTTTCTACACGGATACATATCATTATCCAGTTTTGATACCCCTTTCTTATATCTATGGGGAAGCAGCATGGCGCGGCGCCTTGTGTTATGGTAATAGCATCTAGCTTCGGAGCATATGGCTTATCTGAGCGATACCTCTTGTATTATTTCATTTGTTTAACTCATGCTCCTGTCACCATATCTGTACGTTAGTTTTAATAATTAGGGAGAGTAGCCTTGCTATCGCGGCTCTCCTATATGACACGACATGTGTCTATTTGCGCCTATACTCAATACAAGACTAAAGTGCGAAATCTAGACCACACCTGAGTGAACCGTCAAGACAAGCATCATCCAGAACAACTTTTCAGATACAATTAGAAGATAAAAGGATATATGTGAGCCATTGCGTTCCCTTATAGATAAGATTGTTTGCGTAAAGGAAAGATCAAAGCGAACCGGCGCAATGAGCGAAGATTTATGCAAACATGATAAATAAAATGAATTAAGAATCCCAATTCCGTCCAGCCGATTTAAAAGGAATAAACAAGTTCTAATAGTCTTCGAGTAAAACAAAGCTCAAAGCTACGCAGCCACCCCATAAAAGCAAAGCATCCGCATTGCAGTTCAGATTCGCACGTCCGTTTTTAATTTATTCAATCCTCTTCTTGCCCTCTTCAGCATTGAGGTATCTAGCCGTGCTGAGACCTCTCTCATGCTTGGCCACGTATGTTCCAATAACAGAGTCCTTGCGCGCCTTTGCGAAGTGCTCGTTGTAGCCCTCGACGGCAAATGGTCGGGGGTTGAGACGGGGCCAGTTGACCTGTTGAGGTTAGAATCAGTCTTGAAATGTTGTGCAGTATATCACTTACGTAAAGCATGCCGTGGTTCCAAACAAAATAAAAGGACCAGGCAGCAATGGCCATCCAGAAGAAAAGGAAGATACGAAGGGGCAGGGCACTCGTATCAGGTGCGCGGCGGGTAAAGAGGCCAACAAGAATGATAAAGACACTGAAGGCCAGAATGTAAGGAATAGACTGGATCAAGATCGGACGACGGTCGGTAAAGACCAGAGTAGTGCCAATGTTGGTCGAGCCAGGACGGTAGGCTCCGAGGAAGAGATCGAAGGAGTCCTGTCGAGGTCCATCGAGGAAGTTGTTACGGAAGTAACGTGTGACACCAATTCGAGCATCCTGGAGAGCTCCGACCTTGGTTCTGTTTCCTGTACGGGTAACATCTGTCTTCATGGCGCCAGTGCCAGAGTAAGAGTTGGAAACAACATCGGCATTGTCAGCCCAGAGGTTGCGGAACATGTCCTCAAAAGCAGCATCCTCGTCACGGAATGAAGAGCCGCGGGGCATGAAACCAACATCTTCAAAGATACGGTCAAGCTTGTATCGTGCGAACATGCTCTGGACAACATTGGTTCGATCAAGACAATCCATACAGTTGGTACGCATAACGCTGGTCTGATAGCTGCGGGCATCAAGCTTGCCTTCAACGCTAGAGGGGGTATCAACGGCACGGAAATAGCCCTGCTTCTCGAGAGCATCGGCCAACTTCTCAATCAGAGCGTAGGCCTTGTGCATCTTCATGCCCTTGGTCTCACTGTGGTAGTCGAAGTATACGTAGTGCAGGCGGTCGAACTCCTGACGCTTTCCTTCAGGCTGGATGGTGGTAAACTTCTCCTCGGTGAGTAGGTCTGCTTCTTGTCGTTCCCTGGGTGCGGAAACGAGTTTCTCGACCATCTTCTCATACGACTCCTTGACACGAGCCTCTCGCCCCTTTTGATTAACCAGGTTGATCAGGTAGTTGTCACCATACAGGCGGATCTGTTCATCAAAGTGCTTCTGTGCGGCAGTCAAAGCCGTATCAATGCCTCGGATCTGAAGCTTAGGGACATATCGCAAGCTGTTGATTTCAGCCCAGAAGGTAGGAACACTGCCGCGGGTTTGGACATAGGAGAAGATCTGCATCTCCTGACCGGCGCCAGCGCCAAATTTTCCGCTCTGCATATCAGAGCTGCCTGCATAACCACCCAGTCCACTGTTGCTGTCATTGAGGATGATGATCTGCTCTGTTTCATTGTAGTTGGCGACATGTCCTTCTTCATCCACACCACGAGTGAAGTATCTGGTACCTCCGCGGTGGCGCGATCGACGGGTGATAAGAATCATAGTCAGGGGGTTGCCCTTAAAGGTGGTGGGCTTGATCTCGAACATGCCGAAGATACATGGCAGGATATAGGGGTCGACACCAGGTTGTGCGCCAGGCTGCGATCGGGCGCCTCGAGTACGGAAATCGATGAGATCGCTCTGGAGGTATTTGTTGAAGAAGAACCGGTCGTCGGTTTGCATCCACAAGGGCTTGGAAGTGTCGGCTTGGGCTTGGCGTTGGAAGGAGTTGGTAAGATCAATCGAGTACGAAAAGTACATGGGCCCTGAAGCAAGGAAGTTCTTGAGAAGCTGTATGAAGATATCCTCATCGGGGTCGTGGATCAAGCGCTCGCGCATGGGCATAATCTCGGTGGCGGCAACCTTGTATACCATGTGGCCTTTGAGGCGGCCAACGGGTGTGGCCTTTGTGATAAAGATGACATACTTGTCTTTGTATGGTTAGTTATAGAGCATAAACCGGTACCTGAGAGATCATCTCAAGGTGTGTCGCAGCAGAGACGAACCAAGACGAAGCTGGATAATTCCCAGAATACCAGCAATACTAGAAACACGAGTCGTTCTCTTGGCGGATGCGGCGCTGCCATCAGCCAGACGGACATCACCAGTTGGACGATCGATTACAAGAGCAGGCGCATCAGGCGAGGATGGAGAAGTAAATGTATAAGAATCGTTGGCGATCTTGACATTGATGTCACGATAAGGCATTTTGGGAGTGTTTAGGTGCGCCATTGTATCGGATATGCTGTAACGGAGCTTATGATAGCTGAAGCTCGGGGTGGAAGATTAGAAAAGAGAATAAGAAAGCAAAGGGATAGTAAAGCCCGGGACTTAGTGGCCAACTTGGCGAGTTATCTGCCCTTGACGGCTGAGAAAGACAGTACAGTAAACTTAAGAAAAAAAAGGGACTCGACGTGAGGGATGGGCTGAGATGAGATGGTTTAGTTAGCGAATAACTTGATGAGGCCAGCGAACCTGGAAGCTATAGCACAGCCACATTGGGAAATCGTAATGACGGAACGATGGGGCCCTTGAGGGGACCACTGTGGCGCCCGCGGGATGCACGTCACATGTTTGATTGGAAGAGGCTCGTGCGAGAGTAGGGGTACCTGAAATTTGGTTGAAGGCTAGTGCTACGACCAGTACCGCTACCTCCACTAGATTGCGCAAGTGTCCAGTGAAACGCACCTCTCCAGACCCCGTCTTCCCGTCGACTACAGTGGCACAGTGGGTGTCCCTCACCAAAAAAAATAGGCCCTGCCTGACCCTGACGTGTGCCTCGTGCCGTTTGAACCAGTCACAACCAAGGAACCAAGGCAGTCACTTAGTGACCTCCCATCCCATCCATCCCGTCTCGTCTTAATCAAAGAAGCGAAGCCCCGTCCTAAGACTCGCCTCTCACCTTCAGCCTCGACTCTTGTCTTTTCATACAGTACCAACCATACCTATCCCCATCGTCGCCCGCCAGTCCTACCTTGTACCTCGATTCGCTTTAGTTGCGAAATCACCTCGATACGATTTTCAGCCCGAGCGTCCGTCTCTCCACGCTGTTGTCCAGAACACGTCCGATCCCAAACGCCCAGGTCATACCGCCACTACACTACCTCTATCATTCTTGATAGACTCTCTCCATATCTCTCCATCCCGAAACCACATCCTCGTTTATCAGTATGGCTTCCCGACAACCTCCCGCTGGCGCCCGCGGCACCAACACCCGATTTGCGCAGTTCAAGTTGGTTCTTCTAGGTATGTTACATCAGTCTTGTCAACCCCGTCCTTGTTTCATGACATGCTTGCTAACCTTTCGTCACAGGCGAGTCTGCCGTCGGAAAGGTATTTTGTAACGAGCGCCTTGAAATAGCGACCTACTAACTTTTTAATTCAGAGTTCAATAGTCTTGCGATTCGTCAAGGTAAGCAGTTGTTGAACCAACCTCATTATGCAAGACACGTAACTTATCAATGCCATTCAGGACCAATTCGATTCTTATCGCGAGTCTACTATCGGTGCTGCTTTCCTGACTCAAACCATTTCCCTCGATGAGAACACTACCGTCAAGTTCGAGATCTGGGATACCGCTGGCCAAGAACGCTACAAGTCGCTGGCTCCTATGTACTACCGAAACGCAAACTGCGCCGTCGTTGTATATGATATCACCCAATCGGTACGCCTATCAAGAAGAGCAGTTTTAAAGACACATATTAATATTTCCGCAGGCATCGCTAGACAAGGCAAAGGCTTGGGTCAAGGAACTTCAACGCCAAGCGAACGAGAACATCGTCATTGCTCTTGCAGGAAACAAGTTGGATTTGGTCACCGAGCAGCCCGACAAGCGAGCCATCCCCACTGCTGATGCTGAGGCTTACGCCCGTGAAGCTGGTCTTCTCTTCTTCGAAACTTCAGCCAAGACTGCCGAGAACGTTCAGACCCTTTTCACAGCCATCGCTAAGAAGCTGCCTCTGGACCAGGCCGGTCCCCGACATGCTCGTCCCGGTCAACGACCAGGAGTCAGCCTGGCTCCCGAGAACTCCAACACCAACGTCAGCGGTCCTTGCAGCTGCTAAGCTGACCCTGAGTTCGAAGCATTGAGATTAGACACAACCTTTCATTACGCCCACGCATGCATCACCAGAGCCTCAGCGTGAGTCTTTGCACGATACGCCGTCTTTAACGAACTCTGAGGTCACGAATGAGCTGGGGCGTGTCATATAATTTACTGGAGTCTTTGGTTTTGGAGGGATCAGTTCAGTCCACACTTTTTAATACCGAACTTGAATTTTGTTGCTTGGTAGCATTGGTGGCTTGTATGCTTGAAGTTGCTGGAGCTCGGCACTTGAGCATGCCAGAAGATATAGAGTGGCTCATGAGATGAACCGACAGGGGATATGTACGAGGCGCTCTGTAGCATTTCTTTTTCTTCGCAGCTTCTTAATAGATGACTGTCACTAGATGAATTACGCAACTATGCTATCATAATATCGAGGTGATACAGTACGTCGAAAGGGTTTCAATCACTCGTGCAAGATTAGGATTTGGTGTTAATAGTAAACATCCTGCCAACTCTGAGGTGGAGTGGAGTATGGGTGGGATATGATACGCTCAAAAACCGGAAAAGAGGTACCATGATTGACACCACTGTTTCCAATGAACGTATCGCTCACTTGGATACCATCACGATACTTGTCTGACTTCACTTGGAAGGTAGTGGTGAAGCATGTACCGAAACACTTTCATCTCTCAAGTTTAATGGAATCATGCCATGATTTGTTGCTGCTTTGTTGCATTGTAGTTGAGCATGTGATCAGGTAACCAATCGTTATCTTACTATAAAAGTTCTCAAAGAGTCAATCTCAGACCATCATGGTGAGAATTATTGTACGAGCCTTTCTGCCATTCCAAATATAGTTAGGTAGTATGGTCATTTAATGTTGTTTCATCATATTCAAGATTTTGATAGTTGATAAAGCAGTTGCGTCACCCGGTTCCTGCCGCTGTGCTAACATTTAGCTCCATGCGGAACCGGGAGCTGGCTTTTACCGAACTTTTACCCTGAGCGTTTTTGAAGCAGCTCTCAACTCCATCAAACCCGATATACAACTGCATCGCGAACTGCGCCCTGTTCGCCATTGCAATCCCTCAATGTTGCGAACTTCGCTTCAGTCTGTGAGGGCTTTTGGCGGCAGGCCCGTTGTGGCCGCTGCTGCCCGCCAATGGCCCATTGCGGCTACGCGGACTGCCTCTCTTGCTGGTCAGGTAAGCTTCCCTTGCCTTACAACGTCACACCTCGTGTTAGTATGTAGCAATCAGCTAACCGCGTTGACTTTTCTGTAGCGATTCTACGCTGTCGACAAGAAGCCCGAACTCGATGCTAAGCAACCCGTACTGCCACCTTCCCAGACTATCTCATCCGAGAGAATCCACGAGACCACTATCGACGATGTCGGCGAGACCAAGGCTGTTATCGGAGAGGTTCCCAGAACACCACCTCCTCCCCCGCCTCCTGCTCCCAAGAAGAAGGGTTTCTTCCGAAGACTGAAGAACTTTGTCTTCACCCTTCTCGTTCTTGGTGTTGTTGGTTTCGCTGGAGGTGTCTGGTACTCTCGTATTAGCGACAACTTCCACGACTTCTTCACTGAATACGTCCCATTCGCCGAGCAGGCTGTCCTCTACCTCGAGGAAATGGACTACAAGAAGCGATTCCCCAACGTTACCGGCCGATCTAAGTCCCAAGCCACCGAGGATGCCGTCAGAGTTCCTGCTCAGAGCGGCGCTTCATGGCGAGTTGCTGAGGCCGAGCGTCACTCAAGTGCTGGTCCCGTTGCCGCCGCCAAGAAGAAGGTTGAGGAAGTAGTCAAGCCCAAGCCCAAGGCTAAGGCCAAGGCTCCCGTTGTTGAAGCCAAGGAAGTTGCGAAGGAGGCCGCTCCCACCAAATCTGATACTGGTTTCAAGGCCCCTGAAGTTAACGAGCCCTCTAAGCTCCCTCCTCTGAAGCCAATTGACCTGCTATCACTTGAGGATGCCAAGGAGCCTGTTATTCAAGACCTTGTCCACATGGTCAACGACCTTATCCTGGTTATCAACGCCGATGGTGCTCATGGCAAGTATGGCACCTCCGTTGACAAGGCCAAGAGTGAGATCGCCAAGGTTGGAGGCAAGCTTAAGAGTATGAAGGGCGAGTTCGAGAAGAAGGCTGCCATGCAAGTCCGAGAGAAGATCGAGGAGTTCGACAAGGCCGCTAGTGACCTGATTGACCGCGTTGAGAACACCATGATCAGCCAGGAGGACCAATGGCAACGAGACTTTGAGCATGAAATGAAGACGGTCCGAGAGAACTACGAGGGCCGTGTCAAGACTCTCCTCGAGCGTGAACAGAAGGTCAACGAGGAGAAGCTCCAGAACCAGCTTGCTCAGCAGGCTTTGGCTCTCAAGAAGGAATTCACCAAGGATATCGAGAAGCAAGTTGAGGAGGAGCGCCAGAGCCGTCTGGGCAAGCTGAGCGCTCTGTCTTCTGCTGTTGGAGAGCTTGAGAAGCTCACTACCGGCTGGAACGAAGTTCTCGACACTAACCTCAAGACCCAGCAACTCCACGTTGCTGTCGAGGCTGTCCGAGCCAGCCTTGAGGATGACCACCACCCTCGTCCCTTTATCCGCGAGCTTGTCGCCCTCCGCGAGATCGCTTCTGACGATCCCGTTGTCAATGCTGCTATTGCCTCAGTCAACCCTGCCGCTTACCAACGCGGTATCTCTACTTCTTCCCAGCTGATTGACCGTTTCCGTCGTGTCGCCAACGAGGTCCGAAAGGCCTCTCTGCTACCCGATGAGGCCGGTGTTGCCAGCCACGCTTCCAGCTGGGTCCTCAGCCACGTCATGTTCAAGAAGCAAGGACTTGCTGACGGTAACGACGTGGAGAGCATTCTTACTCGAACCCAGACATACTTGGAAGAGGGTGATTTGGATTCTGCTGCACGAGAAATTAACGGTCTAGATGGATGGGCCAAGACCTTGAGCAAGGATTGGCTGGGTGAGGTTCGCAAGGTGTTGGAGGTTCAGCAGGCTCTTGACGTAAGTTCCATCACCCCTTCATCTGCATTTTTACTTTGCTAACATAATACCTAGGTGATTGCTACAGAAGCCCGTCTTCAGAGTCTCCGTGTGGATTAAATAAAAAAGGGATGTCTCATTTGTTGTGTATAATTGGATCCCGGTGTCGTCATGTCTAGAGAAAGGCTGGGCGGCCGTGTATTAGATAGCAATAGACGATGAGGGCGTGGTTACCATCTTTTGCTTGTTCATTATCGTCGACATCTTCATCAAGTTCCATGCTTGATTGCTTTCTGCTGACTGATACCGGACGACCCTGAACAAGGTGTCAGTTGCTGTTTGTCAGAGATACCTAGAAGCTGAATTTATTGAAATTTGGAACACAGATACTTATGTGATGAGCATGTTTTCCGATCTATGGATAGCTTCAAAATGTCTTCTCCAAATTCTGGCGGACTTGAGTGCGGAATATCTCAGGCAAAAAGTGAAGTATGTAATGGCTAGGTACATGACCTAACTATCTGAGCTCCATTGCTCCAATGACACAACCCATATCATTGAATTGAGCCTCGCTCAACCTCGCCTTGACCCTCCGGATTAATACTTTCCCAATGTACTCTCGATTGATAAGATGAATCAACGCTGCTCTTTTATTAAGAGTCATCTCACAACACATATAATGGCTACACGAAGGAGCGTCACCACCGCATCTCGCGACTATAATGAAGCTCTCAAGCTTCTGTCTACGCTCTACTCAAACCGCCAAATCACCAATTTATTCGACAAACCGACCGCTCAAAATGCCTCATCCGGGCCACCCAAAGATCTGAATGCGCTTGCTCTCCCAGAGATGCGCGAATGGCTTCGTCGCGCTGGATATGAGCCAAAAGATCTCGCCCGTCTTAAGCATATTCATGTAGCGGGTACAAAGGGCAAAGGCTCTGTGAGTGCATTTGCAACGGGCATGCTCAAGCAATATGAGACTGTCGGTACCTATACAAGCCCGCATCTCGTAAGCCCTCGCGAGCGTATCGCTATTCAAGGCGAGCAGGTCTCCCAAGCTCTTTTTGCAGAGGCTTTCTTTGAGCTATGGGAACGATTGTCCGACGCCGCTAAGAAGGACGGCCAGAGTATCACGGATGCCAATGGGCCCAATTCCAAGCCCTTCTTCTTCCGTTTCATGACACTTCTTGCTTGGCACATTTTCCTACGGGAAAAAGTCGACAGTGTTGTTCTCGAGTGCGGCATCGGAGGCGAATATGACGCTACGAATATTGTTCCCTCAGAGGCTGTTTCGACAGCTGTCATCACACAACTGGGCATAGACCATGTTGCGATGTTGGGCGACACGGTTGAGAAAATCTCATGGCACAAGGCAGGTATTCTCAAGCCGGGAGTACGTGGCTTTGTGCGCCGAATGGATGAGAAGCCCAGTGTGAGACAAATCCTTCAACAACGGGCGACGGAAAAGGGCGCCGAACTTACAGAACTCGACGATGCGAGCGTTGAGCGATGGGGAGGTGTAGTTGGAAAACTGCCCGGCGATTTCCAGAAATACAACCAAGCTCTTGCCGTCCTTGCTGTGCGTCACCATCTGGGCATGGATGTTGATCCGGCGGCTGCTTTGCTGGACCTCCCTGATAAGATGGTCACTGGTCTCAAAGAAGCAAGTCTCAGGGGACGATGTGAGATCATTCAGCAGGGCGATATCGGTTGGCATCTTGATGGTGCGCATACCAAAGATAGTATGCAGGAGGTCGCAAAATGGTTCGCTACCAGCATTGGCAAAGATGAATCTGCGATATTAGTATTTAACCAGCAGGAGAGAGATGCGACACAACTGTTGGCGACCCTTCTTGATACTATTCAAGAGGTTACAGGACGAGAGAACATTTTCAGCCATGCATTCTTTACAAGGAATGATCAGGAGAAAGCTTCCAGTGATGAAGCTAGAGACCTAACAGTTCAGACGCGAGTTGCAGAATCAATGAAACAGAGGGCAACTGGATGTCAGATCAAGACTTTTGATAATATTCAAGATACAGTCAATGAGGCAAGGAGAGTCGCAGCCCCGAATCAAAAGGTTTTGGCAACAGGGAGCATGTATCTTGCAGGGGGTATGTTGCGAGCCTTGGAGCCCGAAGGTCTATTATAAATATTTTCTTCCTATACACCCACGAAATGGAATTCATTTTGGCTTTCATCATGATTATAGAGCATCGGCTTTCTCCAATATTCCCAGAGCACCACCGACAAGGTGTAAACTGCCTGTAATGAGTGCCTGCACCGTCTCGCCCTCTGGTAGATCCTCTCCGATGTGTCTAGTGTATTCAATAGACTGCTCAATAGTTGGCATAACCTTGACGACAGCACTTGGGTCAAGTTCTGTCCATTTCTCAGCAAACTTATGCTGAACCGTCATCTTATCAATTTCGCTAGGATCGAACTGGTGGTTGACAAAGTCTCGCTTGTAACCGGAGTCAGCATATGTGACGTTTGTGCAAAAAATCACATGGTCGAAAGCAGGCTGTCCATCGCGTTTGGTAGCTTTGAAAACGGACTCTAGGAAGCCAGCGGCTTCAGAGCGGCCTTGTTGGTTGAAGATCATAACACGAGGACCGGTGCTGAGATCATGTTAGCTTAGTCTTTGTACGTCGTCGTAACAAGAGGCTTACCGTCCTGAAGTCTCATCTTGGAACCACTTGGAAGACATCTTAAGGCTGTCAGAGGTATGAGCTCCGTCAACATGCCATGTCACCTTATCCTCCTTCTTAACCTCGCATCTACCCCTCCACACAACCTTCTCAAGACCGTCCACAAATTCCTTTGGCAAAGGTTCGGAGCGCGGTGAGAGATCAATGCCAATCTTCTCCAGTGCCGTTTCAGCAAGGGTAATGGCTAGTGTGGCATTGCGCTTCTGGAAGATGGCGTCTGGTCGAATCTTGATGGCATTTAGTCGAGGGTCAACATCGAGGACTTTCAGATCCACGCTCTTCTCCTCGGCTCTTTTTCTGAGCACTTCATCCGCATCCGGTACTTGCTCGATGGTGAAAGCCGCGCTGCCTGTCTTCATGATACCTGCTTTATGCCATGCAATTTTGGCTACAGTATCGCCCAGGGCGAAGACATGATCAATACCTAGTGTGCTGATCCCTGAAGCTACTGGCTTCTCAACGACATTCGTAGCATCGAACTCCCCTCCAATACCCGTTTCATACACGGCAACGTCGATGCCCTCTTGGAGAAAGACATGCCAGCTCATCAGGGTTAGATAGCGAGCATAGATGGGTCGAGGAGGCATAAGCTTGTCCGCTTCATCCTTTGGTGCGGATTCCAAACGATCCCAGACTTCGAAGAAGTATTTTGCGAAGAGATCTTCTGAGATTGGGGCCGAGTTGATACGTATGCGCTCGCGGACAGCGATGAGGTGAGGGGATGTGAAGAGGCCGGTTTTGCGGGGCGTGCCTCTGGTGTGCTGGTACTGAGAGAGGATAGAGTCGACGAAGGCGCAAGTACTTCCTTTGCCTTTAGTTCCTGCTACATGTACTATGTTGAGCTTGTCCAAATCGGATGGCTGTGATTTTATGAGCATCATTCCCTGCTCTGATGGTCTCATCTTACAGTATATCCAATACGATGAAGATACGTCTTCATCTCCTGGATGGACACGGCATTTGGCTTTATTCCAGCCTTACGACGAGCTTCAATTATATCATAAGGCGTCTGAAGTGAGTTGAGCGCATCAATCGCGTCCTGATGTTGAGTTATAGATCAGTATATCTCCTCATCTCATGGAAGCAGTCATGACGTACATTGTAAGACCGGTTTGACGAAGCCATGGTGGATAAAGATGTTCGCTGTACTACTATAAAGCTGAAAGGTTGCCTAAAAGCTCTCCAAGAGACATAACGCATTGAAGTCAAAATGTCTTAACAATTATAATGAAAGTTGTCTTGGCCAGTGGTGACTCGCAGAAAACTCGGGTAATTCGCTCGTAGTCAACGAGGTGTAGGGTGAGGCCGTGAGAGTCCAATTGGCTCAGTTCTTGAAGAAGCTTAATGTTTCTCGATGATCAGGTAATTAATTTCAGTGAAGTAGAATTGTTGGTCCAATCGATTGACTTGATTAATTGAGAGTTTATCCTCTTACTGAGACAATCTTGCCGCATGCTTTCCTCGGTCTGCCTCCCGCTACTAGTGACGGCCTTTCGGGAGAGAACGCCGCTGATAAGAGCCATGATGAATGAAACGAGGGATGAAGTTTATGTTAAATACAAACGGAAAAGTTGCATTTTGGTCGTTGTCTTTGTCAAGACTCAAAAAGCCAACATAGACAAAGCACTTTTCTGCATCAATAATAAATGCCTGATCCAACATCGCTAACAACTCCCCTAATATGCATACTCTTCGGCTCATATCCGATTGCCCCGGACCGATCAGCCGATGTTATAATCCTCAATTTCACCCTCTCTCTCCGACACCCACATCTTCATACCGACTTGAAATGATTCATGAAAGTCGTTGTCAAATCTCTTTCCACTATCAGCCCAGGCGACTCTTGCCCGCCAGGTGAGCCATTTCTCTGCCATGACGCCCTCAGGCGCTCTGATAATGCCTGTGGCTAAGTCAACGACATGATGGTCATCATCTGGCCTCCTATAGCTGTGGGAGAAGAAGATTGTGGCGCCGCAGTCACCGCAGAACGATCGCACAACATTATCTGATGATTTACATGTCTTCGCTGTGCCGGTGAGAAGGTCATGTCCTATGCGAGGCTCGCAGACTGAGAGAGGAATGAATGTCCAGCCAACCACGTGTGTTCCGTTAACGAGCCGGCAGTCGTCACAAGCGTCAAAAGTAGCATACCACTTTGTATTGTCCCTATGAGAAACGAATGCGGAGTAGTATTTATCTTCCTTGACTGCCTGATTTGGTCGGGGGATGGTGAAGGATACACCCTTGCAGTGACACTCAACACGAAGACGCTCTTCACCATTTTCTCCAAATTCGGGTTGTGACCGAACAATCTTGGCCTCAGGACTGTCATCTTTGGGATTCCAGTCGATGAACTCATGTCCCCTCATGTGTGTCAAGGTCTTAGCGATACCCCCATCCTGGGTGGACTTGCTGAAGATGTGCTTGCGTATATCAAAGCAGTCTGCAGCATCTATAAAGATAGATGTAGAAACTGTCCAGAACTCGTTGTCAGGCGGTCCAGTTGAGGCGATATGATAGCCGCATGTCGAACAGAAAAGCCATGGCCAACCAGTTTTACCAATTGGATAGCTCGTCATGCTGTTTCGAGAGGACGGTTCCACGAATCTAGGCTCTACACCCTCTGGAAGTGTTGCGTGAAAGACGCATGGTGCTCCTGAGGCAAATCTGCAGAGACTGCAGTGGCAGAGATGAGTGAGGAGTGGAAGTTTGGAGACTGGTACGTCGATTGTGTAGTGGACAGAGCCACAGTAGCATTTCGCTTCGAGAGTTTTGGTGTTGGACTCTGCCATGGCCGTGATAAGACAGAAGCGTGTAAGTGGAGGTGCCAGATGATAAAGAGAATAGTTGATGGAGAAGAGATTATGGATTTAGGTAGTTACAGAACTCTTGGGCTTTATAAAGCGGTCTATAGCTGCGGGGAAATCGAGATAGGCAGGTAGCTGTTGTCATGAGTCGTTCCTGCGGTATAATTAATTGATATCACTTCTGCAAGCAGGTTTCAATGAGTTCCCTGGATGATAGCTCTTGCTGTACTTGTTCTTGATCGACCATGATCCTATCGTAACATGACTTCACACAAAATACATGGTAAGTTGTGAGATACTTGGCCGGCAGTGTGAAAACTTCATGTCACTCTCGTATTGTATCCTGGGAGATAGAGTAGCAGAAGGAAGGCTTTGTCTGTAATATGAAGGGCGTGCATGACGCTAAAGTTCAGATCGCCAGCCAGCTGGAGGCACCTAAAGATGGAAGGACCTGGACCTGTAGTGGGGCCTGAGTTGACAGCTCGTACTGTAGCTTGTTAGTCCCGTTAGCCGAAGTTAGTCCGGCCTTGTTCAAGAACAGCTCCTAACTTTTTTTTCCTTAGTGGAGAGCCCGAACCATTCATCATGACTTCAGCGCCTCACAAACTTTCTTCCTCTTCCTCTTTCTCATTTCTGTCTTGCAGCCTCGTAGCAGCTGCACCGGGTTAGTAAATATGTCGGACATTTCGGATATTGAAAAGCAACAAAAGCAGCTCGAGGATGACATCAGCAAGCTGCAGAGTGCCCTGAAGCACTGGCAGACTTGGGATGCCGAGTATGAGATGCTCAAGGAAGAGGTTCAGTCTACTTGCAAGAATGGCGACACTGAACTCAAGACAATCCACGCCGGGTTTGAGGGTGAGCTACTGAAGGATCGCGAACTTGATGAGATTTTCGGCGAGAGGACACACCGATCTAGCGAGCAGATCTTGAATATCCTTGAACGTCGCATCGATTATGTTACTACAAACATCGCAAATCTACAGAAGCAAATCAGCACTGCCGAGGATAAACTTACCGAGCTGCAACCAGATCTCACTGAAGATGACGGTCTACCGATGACAGAAATTATCGAGGAGCTTGACGAAGATGACAATGTCATTTCGTACAAGCTGAATCAGCCTGACAGCGCGTTGCCTGCGATCGAGAAGGCCCTTGAAAAGGCCGGTATCAAGGATTCTGAGAATGATGACTCTGCCTCACCCGCAGAGAGTTCTAAACAGAAAGAACCTGTATCTAAGCCCGAGCCCGTGTCTGCTCCAAAGCCTGCGCCCGCGCCCGTACCTGAAGCCTCGTCCTCAAAGCAGACTGTTTCTCAAGAGACAGATCTTCAGGCCACCAAGCTCGCACCTTCTGCCAGCAAAGGTGTCTCATTTGCTGGAGATACTAAAATGCAAGACGGCCCCACGCCCCAAGTCTCGCGTAATGCTAAGCGTGTTGAAGAGATCATGAACCATGCCAAAGAGCAGGAGAAGATCACTAACGACCAAGCGTACATCCCCGACGATGAGGATGAGGAGGACGCAGAGTTACGGCGACAGATGCTCGAATACTCTGGCGAAGTTGGCGCTGTTGTTGCTGAATTGCAACTCGAAGAGGGAGACAGCGACGACGATGAATACGATTATAGCGACGACGAAGGCTTCGAAGATGACGATGACCAGGAAGATAAGTATGGCCGATACACGGGCCGCGTCGTTACGGATGACTACCGTGAGAGGATGCTTGAGCTGGAAAAGAAGCTAGGCATCAAGTCGCGTTTCACTGAACGGCCAGAGGACAAAGACGCCGAGTCGAGTGCAGATGAAGAGGATGGCGGTAAAGAGGAGGGTATTGGACGTATTGTTATAAAGCCGACTGCTGCGACGACAACGCCATCACCGCCAGCCTCGGCCTCAGCGTTGAAACCTGCGCCCACCAAATCAAATATTAAGGAGAAGCAACCGGAAACGACCAACAGCAAGAAGGGCGTGCGCTTTGCTTCCAGTCTGGATATTGCACAGGAGAGCGAACCCACATCTCTCCCTGTACAAGAAGATTCCATTGTGGAAAAGGAACCTATAGTGGAACCGTTGAGTGACGTTATTGTCGAGCGTTCCACATCCCCCAAGGCTTCCGATACCACACCCGCCAAGTCCACACGCAAACCATCGCGGTTCAAGAAAACGAGAGACACTGTTCCTCCTGGACCTCTTGATGTGCCCGCCAAATTCATCGATCAAGATCGACCTACAGCACCTACTGGCCCTGACGGTACAACACTGGCTGACAAATTAGTCGAGCGTGAACCTACAAAAGCTGCTCAACCACCCAACGAATTCGATGACGAACTCATGTTGCAAGAAGTTGCGGATGAGCACCATAAACTGCGAAAGAAGTTCATTCAGCGAGAAGGTGGGTTCCTCAAAGAAGACGAATCTCCCATACAGCCTCTGGAGGAGCAGGATGGTGGACGAGAACGCGTCAGTCGCTTCAAGGCGGCCAAGCTTGCGAAATACTAAAAAGAAGATATACAAGAAAGAAAAAAAGGACAAAAAAGGCACTCAGGCCTAGAGTCGACATGACATGGCGATGGCTGAGTTATCAGGAGACAAGAGTCGAGAGAAATCGATTTATTGCTCGCCTCGAGTTGCCTGCTTGCCAATCTGCTGTGAAGGTGACTGATCGACTTGCTACGACCCGAATGCTTTGACCTTGCTAACCCAGGATAACTCGACTATTACTTTGAACTACATACCCTTAATAAAGATCTTGCGGGGTTATACGGAACGCTTTAATCTGACAATTGATGTGTTGCAGGCTGCATTTTGTGGCGTCTAATCTGCTTCTACATTACTAGCTGTTCCAATAGTAAACTTTGAAAAGGGCCCTCTGAAACCTCTATCTAAGCTTGTGGTTTTGGTTATTCGTTTCACCCTTTACATTCTCTCCATATTATTGAGTACATACTAGAATGATACTATTATTATCCCTTGACTTGTTTGGACGTTCCACTTTCCTCTTGCTGTGTCCTTTTTGTTGTTGGTTTCTATGGTTGACGTTATACAGTTCAGGCTTGCAGGGTTGTATAAGCCATAAAACCGAAAACGCGGGCGTCCCGGAAGTTCGGCACCTCGCCGTTCGGCAGTCAACGTGCCGGTCAATAACTCGGAACACTTGCTGACCAGCCCCAGCAACATTGACTGACCAATAGAAACCCAGCAAACCGCCATATTCGGCCTAGACTTGCCGTCTGCTCTACAACGTAGCATGCCTCGAAAGGCTGGACCCTGGCCTGAATCTTTTTCTCTTATCCTCTACGGGAGCAGCCGTGAACAATGGTCCAGACCGGGACGGCTACGCGGCATCTTGCGCGTACGTCACTCTGTGAGAAGGGGCTTTGTTCAAGTTGAGCTGGAGTTGAATTACGATCATGGGCATACGGTGAGACCAATCATGCTTGTATGTAGTCTGGAGATGACCAGTGATGCTCCAAGTAGAGGAGTGGCTGTGTCTTGGGTGTTGAGAGAGGCCTCTGGGGTTGTCTCGAGGTACTTAAGAGCGTCTTCTCTAGCCGTGGAAGTGATATCTTGCTACTACACACTACACAACTCTAACCAACAACTCTACTTTTAAAGCCTACCACTTACCTACCTGTTATTCATCTCTCTTCATCTCGATCTTCAAGATGCCCGCTGCCATGGAACCCACTCAGCAAGCCCCCATGACCTCTGATAACGGAGACATTGTTACACAGCAGCCTGTAAGTGTAGAGCTAGCCCGATACCTTATCCAACTAACACGGTATATAAAGACTGCTGAGCCCCAGCCTGACATGACCATGCGAGGTGGTGAAGAGGCTGGATGCGAGATCTGCTGCGGTCTCTGTGCCTGTGACGAGGGATGCTGCTAAGCTTGTTGACCAGCTTTGGATGTCTTATCTATGAAATAAGATATAGACGAAGTTGAACTGGGAAGGAGTTTTGGTAGCCTTGATATCCTGATTTAGTAACATTGGTTGGGATTGGATATTTGGTCTTGAAGCAATAAACTACACTTATCTGTCACTTTGACTTCTTTATATTGCAGTTGTCCTCCATTGCCACTTTTAACATTCGGACTGTAGAGATGTGTAGATACAGGCAGACTGCCACGAGATCTTGGTGTTTTGAACTCCGGTCAAACAATGGCATACTGTAGAAGTGGGCATTTCTACAACCCAGGCTTGTTCTATGTAGTGTGTTCCATTGACTATTCACGGACTCCTGTCAAACACGTTTGACCCCCACAGTTCGCCTGTTTGTCTCCGAACCCCTGAGCTTCAAGCGTCAACACCGTTAGATTCAGGCACATGCACGTTTTTGAAACGGCTCCATTGGCTTTGTCAATGAGAGATCCATAGCGTCTGTATATGTAGATATATGGGATCTATATACACGAACCCCTGATCCAAGACCACCAAGGGAGTTTGAATGTCATCAATAGACAGGACCCTATAAACCCAGGATATAAGAACATGGGGATTCTACCTAGATAAGATCAATCCATCTGATAACTCTAGAATACTGAGTTTGATCATCATGTTGACCCCATAACCAGTTATACTTGTCCAGCGAACCAATCAGTCTTTCCTAGCTTAGTATAGTATTGAGATGTATGTAACATCTAGCATTTCGAGTTGAAAGTTGACCCTTGCTCATCTCAATTGGTGTCTCCCACAGCCATTAGTAGTTGGATAGTAAGAAGAACTGGATCTATACTAACAGACATAGCAACTAACAGTAATCTTATCTTTTCTTTATATATTCCAGTCTTGTTCTTAACTGCTATTATACTAATTCTAGAAGAAATCACATGCTGTACTAATGTCGTCAAGAAGTTTCCGCATTTTTACGGAGAGTCAGTCGTATTGCATGATTAGCGGGCTAACTCAAGGCGTACCGCGGGGCATCTTGGAGGCCGTGCAAATGTTATTCAAGCAACAATATTTCGAGTTGTTGAAAAGGGATTCAAAACGGAACAATAAGAAATGATACCTGTTCTATCTCCTGGATGAGAATTATTGGTATGTCGATACAAGTCGCTGCTAGGATCATCAAGTGTTGTCTCACTGACTAGTTCCATGGCCTGGAAATTGGTCTGAGCTGAGTACCGAATTTCCATGAAACAGCATGAGAATTAGATCTAACGTTACATAGGTATTTAAAGAAGCGATTAATTGAGGAACAGTTCAACTATTTTACTGTGCATTATCTAAATAACTTCTTCTTTTCTGTGTCTCTTCAAGTTCGTCCCAGAGATCGTCAGCAAGCCCCTCCTCCGCAACAGAGCGGCTGAGCTGCAGCCTGCATATAAGCGTTTCTTGATAGGTACTCATTGTTTCTATTTGAACGGGCTGCAGACGATGTCACCCCGTGCGACCTGAGGCACCATCCAAGGCAAACATCATGATAATAAGGACCAAGGACTTGTAGGTTGAAACTGCCTACTGCTGCCTGGGTAGAGCTGCTTGCCTGATTGGGTGGCTCTTGCATGGCTGTCATGATAGGGCAGTTTTGAGTGACACAACTTGGACTCGAGTCTATAAAGAAGGAGCTACCTTCTTTACCTCGATTCTCTTGATATTTCCAATCTCATCTCTTTTGTTTTATCAATTATCTACTATCTACTTCAATCTTTTCACACTCAAGTCTTTAACCTCTCCCCAACCTCATACACTTCATCATGGCCGCTTCTCAACCATATGAAGCCGAAGTTAGCGGTGGTGAAGATAACATCTCCATCGTCAGCTTCGATGATCTGCCTTCCAGGACTAGATCTGATTCCAGATCTGTTCCTTTGCCCCAAATGGGCGGCTACCCGTATCCTCCTCCTCCGCCCAGGGTATGGGATGATCCTGATAGCCTCTACCCAAAGAGAGTAACCCTCGAGATCAACGGCAAGGTCCCAGATGTCCTTCATGTCGTCGAGTATCTTGATACGAGGGACCAGGTCATAAAACGTCGACAAAGCACTCGGCCCTTCAAGACCATTCCCCCATTCTCTCGCAACCGTGAAGAAGGTGATGCCGATGGCGAGAAACTTAATGAGAAGCCTGTGATAGAAATCGTCACAGAGGTCTTTCCCGTGAGAAGCACCAGACCCTACAATCGTCACCCTCATCCCCCACGCAACCAAGAAGACAGACCTATCACCGACGTGTTCGAGGGATCTGGCCTCCGATATGATGATGGTCCTATGGATGGAGATCGAGAAGTCGACTCCTATGTTCCTCGCATCTCTCGCCCCTTCATGAACATCCACTCAGCTCATCTCATCAATGCTCTCAAGGCTGTCGTGACCTATTACCCCAAGTTTAATCTTGAAGGCAAGACAGTCGAGGTTGATGCACCTTATCAGGTTCTGTATCATCATAGGCAAGAGTTGGCTCATTACAAGGATCATCAGCCGGCAGCCCATACCTCTGAGTATGCTGCCACCACTGCTAATCATATCGACCTCCTACTTGAGTTCCTTGAGGACAACCTTGGCGAAGAGATTCGTCGTGAGGAAGAACGCCATAAACTCGAGGTTCCTAGGGCCACTTTCGACCTCTTTTGGCTTCTCCTCAAGCCCGGCCAAGTCTTCTACGCCAAACGTCATGATATCTGGGCTCCATACGTCGTCAGCAGTGTTAGAAATGGCCAGAATGTGAACACTAGTTCACGAGATGCATACAAGGTCAACTGCTGGATGCTCGAGTCCAACGGTACAAAAGTCAATCGGTACATGTATAGTTTCGATCTCTCTCCATGGATTGGTGAGCAGGAAATTGGCGGGCTTTCCGTCATTCCTATGGCCTTTTGGCCCGAGGATCTGGAAGCCCAAGGTGGAGTGACAATGAAGGAGAAGAACATAGCACTTGGAAAGCTGTATTGGGAATTACTGAAGCGCCCTACATACATGGACTATGAGGGTCTTCTTGTAAACTCTGGTACGACTCATCGACAGTCCCGGGGTCCAACTGGATTCATGAGCGGCCGTGTCATCTGCGACGCTCCTGGATTCGACAGTTTCTATTTTGATGGAACAGATGATATCCGCCGCGGCCGATACAGGGGCCCCCCAAGACAGAACTCTGCGGTCTATCCGTCTAAGGACTATCTGCCTCGAAACCTCCCACGTTGTGGTTGCGACGTCTGTATGGATGATCGCTCAAACCAAGACTCGGATGGACCCTACAGAGGCTTTGAGGATCTTGACCCAACTAAAGATTCTCCGCCAGAAAGCGATTTGTTCTACCTCGTCTGTAGCAAGACTATGCCGGGATTCATTCTTGGCGATCGGCGCTGGGGTCACTTGAGCATCGCTAATTTGAAGCCTGTCAAAACAGACAAAGAAGCTTTCAAGTATCTTGTTCTTGACGATGAAGTCAAGATGACTGTGAAGGCTCTTATTGGCAAGTTTGCAACTGACATGGGTGAAGGAAGAGTGTCACCCTGGGGTAACGACTTTGTTAAGAATAAGGGTGAGGGCAGAATCTTCCTCCTTCACGGTGCTCCGGGTGTCGGAAAGACATGCACTGCTGAGTGCATCGCCGAGCTGACCAACCGACCTCTCATTTCCCTCACTAGCGGTGATCTGAGTGTCGACTCTTATCACGTTGAGAGCAACCTTAGCTATTTCCTTGAATTGGGTCAACGCTATGGTGCCCTTGTGCTTCTTGACGAAGCCGACATCTATCTCGAACGTCGTCGTTCTTCAGACATCAAGAGAAATGGCCTGGTTTCGGTATTCCTCCGAGCCCTCGAGTACTATCGTGGTGTCCTGTTCCTTACCACCAACCGTGTTCAATCATTTGATAGTGCCTTCCTGAGCCGCATTCATGTCGCCTTGCACTACAAGAGTCTTGGACATGAGGACCGGGAGCGCATTTGGAGCCATAACTTCGATCGCCTGAGCCGAGATTCTAATGGTTTGATCCATGTTTCCAGTGCTGCTCGCGACTTTGTCTGGGAGAGCCAAGAGGTTCGCAGCCTCAAGTGGAACGGTCGAGAGATTCGCAATGCAATGCAAACCGCGCTTGCTCTGGCTGAGAACGAAGCTGAAGAAGAGTCTTCCGAGAACATCACGATCTGCGTGAAGCACCTTCGGGCCGTGGTGAAGATGAGTCGTGGCTTCCGTGACTACATCAAGAATGCGGTCCCTATTGAGGGTTTTGAGGACACCGTCGTTGAATCTGACGAGGATAGCGAGTGATTTCTTTATTTACTGCCATCGTTCTCTTCTTTCGGGTGTGAGTTAGAATGCGTACGTACTTTGTCACGATTTACCAAGCAGGGAGGGTTGTTTACTTTGACGAATCGTGACCACAGATTGTATACAGCTGAATAACATTTTTATCTTCGCACACCATGCATCTTGAGTGACTGGTTGGTCGAGCGGGTGATGGAGTGGCAGAGAATGGCGATCGAGCAATAGCGAATGGTCATAACAATGCTTCTTAACATGATCGCGGCAATATTCGGCAATAAGTGCTCACAGGTTTAATGATGGATATCTCATATTGCTGTATTGCCGATAATATAGATAGAGAAGTTCGATGAGAGATTTACATTGAGTGCATGAATACTCTATAGGTAGACACAAGCAGTGAAAGGTCAGTGACAGTTCAGAATGGAAACAGGGGAGGGACATAGGCATAACCACAACGTAGGGTATCGAATGAATTGACCGTTATAAGCATAAGGGACGAAATATTTTAGTTATCTTATGCTCTTAGAGAAGCATTTAGGCTACTTTATTTTGATAGCCTAAGTCTTAGAGTGCCTTGGTAAATGCATTGTATTTGAGAACTTCACAAGCTTGCCATACAGCACTAGAGGTCTGCCGAATATGCCCTTTCCCGTCACTCAGTATTCCCTTCAGAAATCGATCATCAAATTAACAACTCGACATGTGAGTCTTCACCTTCTGGGAGAAGTCAAGCACCTTGGCGGCGAATTCAGCATCAGAGCCCTCAATCAAGCTGCGGTTGACGTGTTCCTTGACCAGAGCAGCAAAGTGTCGACGATCCTCTATTTCCTTGGCGATGAAGGCCCGTTGTTCCGGTGGTGGGCTGCCCAGAAGAGACATAATGTTCTCTTGGTCCCAGGTTTCATTTTGCGTGTAAGAGCCAAGAGTGTCGATAATAGTGCAATGCTTTTCGGTGATATATTTCTCGAACGGAAATAGGACGCCTCTGAAACCAAACTGACATCCTGTGATATCAACCACCCATTTTTCGTTTGCACCAAGAGTCGCCACGACGATCATGTGCTCTCCTGGATCCATAAAGGTGTAAAAGCCCTTTGGATCAGCAGGGTCCAGGATAGCTGGGTAGGGTGGGTTCGTGACTTTGACTCTAAAAGTCTCCAGATTGCATGCAATGCCTAGGTATAGAACAACCATTAGCAAGTTACTTGAGAACGAAGGGTCGGGGTCTACGTTACCTTGCAGTAGGGTTCGTGTCATGGGCCCAAGAACACACAGTGTCTTGAGGCCCATGCGTTTCAACAGAGCCGCTTCCTTGTGGTCATCATTGCTAGTGAGATGATCTGGAAACTTGATAGGCTTTAGGGGGCTGCAGCGCTTGCGACTCAGCTTGAGTATCAAAGATTTCTCACGAGGCTCGATCTTGGTCAGGTTCCAGTTGTACTGAGCCTCTCGATGGGAAATCATCGTTGACTTGAGAAGCGTGACTGCTCGGAGCAGAGACTTGCGTTGCTTCATTTTGCGGCAAGCTGTTTTGTGGCGAGGCCAGTCGGCTTTCTGGCATTCACGGCTACAGTAGGAGGCAGCGAGCTCTTCTCCATCGTGGTAGATAGGAGCGCCTTTGCATCCAGCGCATCGCAAAGGTGCGTCCTGGCCGCAGTTGTTGCAGCTCACCATGACGAGGACCCGGATATCTGTGAATAGGGGTGGATGTGGAGGAATGAAGATGATGGGGTTGTGTAAAAGAAAATAAAGGGTGGAGGCAACTGAGAGAAGTGTTGCTTTAAGTGCGAGAAGTTTCTACAGGCAGGCACCGGCAGTGCAGTGCAGCATCAGTGTAGTTCAAAGGGGGAAGGAAGATTGGGGGGGAACGGAAGCTTGCACCTGCCGCGGAAAGGCGCATCTAGGCAAACATGTCCAGAATACAGTGACTGAACAGTTGTTGGCCCAAATTCCATTCATTGCTATCCATGATGTTAGATTCCTCTATAGACTTGACAAGGAGACTCGTATAGCCTCGATGGTCGTATCAAAAACGCCATCTTGCATGCCCAAACTCCTTAATAATTCACCTACCCGAACCAGTTAAGCAAATACAGCAAACTAGATATCTTGAAAGAGCCTTTCTCTTTGTTCCTCCATTAACTGCCCCCGTTTCTTGCATTCGACGTCACGTTGCTGGCATGAGCGAGCAGAAACTTACAGCAAGTCAACGTCAGCTTGCACGCCTTGGTCCAACCATCATCTTGGGCGATGCCTAGTTTGATACTCACATCCCCTATCTTGTCACCGTCAATCTTATACGGCAAACTAAGCGGCGTGCCGGTGGCTTCCGTTTGCCGATGCACAAACGCGCCTAGCTGCCTCACAAGCTCCAGGAAGCCCACCATTGCATTGTCGAAACGCCGGTGCATAAAGGTAAGTCCGAGAGGCATGTCTCCGGAGCTGTACAACTCGAGCACATGCTTCTTTGGGGGTGCAGTGACCGCACGACTGCCTAGTCGGCTGGATGAAGGACTCTGTATATCGTATCGGATGATCCTGGACGTACTGCCCATAGGCTGCGGGTCATAGCCATCGAATCTGTATGCCAGTTTGTCTGCAACTGTCACCAGTAACAGCAGTGCATGTCCCCAAGCCGCGTTGATTTCAGGCCAGTCCACAGGTTTGTTCGATAGGCGTCCGAGCCGAAGGCCATTAATCGTTGCAAAACTGCCATCATGGCTAATGCAGAAGGTATCGTTGTACACATTAGACCGCTGTAGCTTCTCCAGAAGCTGCGAGTCGTTACTATACTTAGCGTTGATGCTGTCCCTTTCGGCCTGGAAATCGGCCATCCTGGTAGCAAACTCGTTGCGTTCTCTCCAGAATTTCTCCTCCTCTTTATCCAGCTGTCGTGATTCCTCCTCAAGAGCCACAAGCTCCTCGTCCAATGAAGTCTTTTCCGACTCCAATTTCTTTAGTTCCTCCATGGCCGCAGCCCTGTCCTGTTCGGCCTTTCGCAGCGCTTCCTCCTGTGCCTTCATGTCTTCCTCGCTTGGTTTGTTCGCTTTGACTTCTTTCAGGTGCTTGGCATATGAGTCCCTTTCGCGCGAAGCAGTCTCAAGCTTCTTTTGTAGACCCTCAACAAGCATCTCTGTGCATTCGACGCATATTGGATGATCGATATCAGACCGCGCGGATAGCACAGCAAAGAGGCGGTTGATTCTATCCATTTCACTTCCCATAGGCGCATCGGGGTTATCCGCATTGCTTTTGCTAGAGCTAGCACGGCGCAGTACTGCTGGTGTCGTAGGAGGTTCTGATGGTGGGTTTGGCCGGACCATTTGTGAATCGGATAATAGTACAAAAGACATGGACGAGTCGCGAGGATGTCCTCCATGATTGCGTTTGAACGTCGGGGGTCCTGCATTCCGTGATACCCTGTCATATAGTGACTTTCGCGATTGATCGTGTGGCTGCGCAAGCGTCGGGTTCGGGACAGACGATTTCTTAAGGGTCTGCGGGGATGTCGAAGCTGAAGCTTGGGTTAGAAAGAGCGCACGAGACTTGGTCTGGATAACGTACCAACGAGAACATCAAAGGCGGCTGGGTTAAGATCCTCGAGGGAACCGTCCAGCCGAAGGGGCTGGCGGCATTTTTGGCAGTTCATATTCCGTCTAACAGAATCGCATGGTCTGAGTGTTGATATGAGCTAGGAGTGCTCTTGATAGCGATCTGGGAAGTGAAGGTGTTGGGTATGATGAAGCTGGTAGGAAAGTGAGACAGGGTTGGATTAAGGTCGATCTTAGCGGTGACGTTGTGCTATTGGCAGCTACAGGCTGCTTTGTGCATGTGATCAACCTCAAGAGATCATTGTCGCAACAGCTGATAAGGAATTGTAATTTAGGTGAATACTGCGCCTGGTTAAATATCATAGATCACTTCTTCTGATTAAACTTTTCATATAAAACCTGTATCAAATCGTGCAAAGTCGTCAATGCCAGTGCTGAGGACGTTATGTTATTAACCTTCACCCCACCAAATGTACGATAAGATGGAAACCACTTTACGCGATGCACGGCCCTGGATCGCGTCATGGCGCATCTCGACTCCTGTAGTTGCTCCTCCAACCAACCATAATTCATCTTCTCCATGTCACCATCAAAGAATGCGAAGACAGCGAGTTCATACATAATTCATTGTTCGGATACATACATAGGCAAGCTGATTCCCGGTGACTTACTTCTTGAAATCATAAAGAAAACCAATTCACATGAAGGACCGCTGTGACGATGGAACCACCTACAAAGAAGAGACGGCATGGCTCTTCATCTCACAAAGACGCCCAAGATGAAGAGGACGACGATGAGCTGTCTTCACATCCTCAGGAACTCAAGATCCGCCGGGACCCAGATATTCAATTTGCACTGAAACGAGCAAACGCAAACCAGAAACTTCATGCCACTATGGCTCATATTATCGAAAAGTACAGTCGCGACTTTGAAGGTATTGGAGATGAAATCGATATGGCTACCGGAGAGATTGTGGTGAACAATGGTCATTTGCACAACATGCGCGATGAGGGCGACGTCGAAGGTCTATGGGTGGAAGGCGACAGCAACATTGATGAAGACGAAGGAATTCTACTTGAGGATCTTACAGACGAATACTCTGACAACGAAACACCGATCACTGAGATTCGTGACTCTCAAACGGAAAATGAGAGTTCCCAGGAAGCAAGGACGAAAGAGAAGGACGACAAGGCAGGTCAACCTGGTGGAAATGAAGGGGCCGATGAAGCGATGGGAAATGCTCCAAACATCGCCAGCAGTCAAGATGAACCGCCACAAGACAAAATTACAGCGTCACCCTTTGACCTCCCTCACGACGATGCTCGATCAAGTCCCTCACCCTTTGGACCTGGTCCTTCTCTTAGCTACGGAATGCCACCTCCAGGTTTTGGGCCATGGGGAATGATGCCTGGATTTCCTATGCAGGCTTGGGGTCGCGACGATATCCCTCCTTACTTCAACATGCCACCGAGCATGCCTGGACCATGGTACAACGGAGGAAGATACGACTTTCCCAGCAACAACGGGCAAAGCTCCATTTGGGGTCGCAACTGGGCGAGGAAAACTAAACCAGTGGGTTCCATGAAAGGCTCGTTCAAGAAGGCCTCCAAAAAGCACTCAAGTGACGTCCCCATTGAGAGCGAAACGGAGGCTGCAGATGACGGCCATGAACCAAATTCCAGGTCCATGGGAGAGAAGACTCCTAGACAGGAACTTCCATTGTCTGATCGAACTATCAATGCCAGTGACGAGGAAGACGATTTCCTGTGCTCAGTGACCACAGAATCAACGCCCATCGTGCGTTCCAGTCTGGTTCCATCGAAAGGGAAAGGCCCGGCTAGGAGACGCAGTGTCCAGCCTCTTTCGCAAATATCTCTTGAAGAAACCAACACCAACCCTACTAGAGTTTCGTCACCGCCCAAGGAGAAGGACGACTCTGGGCGTAGGCGCTCTGGTAGAGCCAGAAGGCAGACGGAATATATGGGGAAAATCTCCTGGGAAGATGCACGGGAAATGAGCAAGTCGGGGAACACCGTGAGTGTGAAGATACATAGGGTCGACCCATCCATTCGAGAAGAGTATCAAAGCGTCGATCTGAGTAGCGAGGATAGTGAGGGAGAAGAGCCCCCATCTTCCGAGCAGACGCAAAATAACCAACCGTCAACAGAAACACGAGGTCTGGAACCAGCTTTTTCCAAAATGGTTGTTCCAGACTCGCAAGACACGGCGACTCCATTCAATAGCAGTGCCCCTGAAGCGTCTCAATCCAATGAGAAGACTAAGGAGCTAAGCCCTTTCATTCCAAATACTATCTCGACGATGGAACTATCAGACGACGAGGCACCCCTTGTTCTTTCAAGAATCAGAGTCCCCAAACAGCAGACCACAGCCCCCAAAATATTTTCTCTGGCATCCGATGTGCCACCAAGACATCATGATCGCACTGCTGAACCCATTACTGCCATAGATACTGCGATGAAGGATGGCAGAAAAAGCGCCGACGTGGTAGAGGATGCTGTACAGCCGCTCAAGCGGAAGCCTAGAAGGCCGAAAGGCTCAGCTAACACTACGAAAACAACACCGACTCATGTTTCTCTGGCAGTACCAGCTGAGAAGGTCGAACCTCCATCACCTGCTCCTACTACTGTACCAACAAATGGTGACCTTTCTCAACCTCCGAAAAGAAAACGCGGAAGGCCAAGGAAATCGGAAGTTGTAGCTCCAATTGCTCGGAGTGAAGCGAAGGATCACACACACGAGCTTATATATAATGATCGCGATGCCCCAGAAGACTCCGAGCACGAAGCTGCCGATAAGATTCCAGAGAACAAAGATTCTCAGGTATCGCATCGCCTAGCGCACGAAATCAGATGGCTCCTCAAAACCAAACCCAAGAACTCTGCTTCTGACAGGATACAATGCCCTTCCTCGGATGAGCACGTCAGGCCCCGGAGATCGAGAGAGTCGCTGGAGCAGTCCGAAGATAACATTGCAGAGTCAGAGGATGATGCGCCGGAAGCGATGGAAGTTATCGAGGATATAGATCATGGTACAGAGGAACAAAGAGAACCTGAGAAACCAGAGTCCCCTATACAAGAAGATGACACCATCATGGAGGAGGCACCAGCATATCGCGAGATCTCACCAGAGAATGCCCAAGGCAATCAAACATTACCGTCCAGTCCCGTTTCCCTTGCCCTCGAAAACCGAGTTGCTGATGATGGCAATGAGTCCGCCGAGGTCAATAGTCATGCTGTTCAGTTGACTAGCGACGATGAAGACACCCGGGATCAAGAGCCGCTTCCTACCCTACCTGAAGATACCTCTGTTCAAGAAACCTCAACGCCAAGGAAACCGAAAGATACAAGGAAATCTCTTTTGGAACCACCCTCAAGCTCTCAGAAACCCCATACCCCTCGCCACAGGTCTATCCGTACAAAACGTGCGCCATCGTCAAGACGCTCCCTCCTATCTTTTGTGTCAGATTCCGATTCAGACCCTGAAGGTACCCGCGACGAGCTAACACGAAAAATAAAATCACACTCCAAATCAACAAGTGCTCGACCATCCTCGAAGAAGGTTTGGAGGTCTACAACTCTGACGAGAGACATTCATAGGACGCCCAGTAGGAGACGTGTCCATGATGTGTCTAGTCCTGTCGGCACGGTGAAGACGCCGGGTGGTACAGTACGGGTATGCGGTGTAGATGGGTATCACTGCGGACGGGACTATTGCTTTACTTGCATTTGACAACCATAAAGCTTCATGGGAATACTCGAGGTGGATTTGCCATGTAGAAATTGGTGCATAAACATAGAGTATATAGCAAACAGACAAGCATAGCGCTTTGGTTTTATTGATTCTCACGCTACTAGAAAGACTGACCCAAAAGTAACAGAATGACGTCCAATACGAAGCGACCTAGAAAAAGCACAGTGTTGGTGATTAGATTAGCCCTCGGTGCCAATGTGCCATAACCCCAAGAACCTGGAACGCCGAAACCACATTGTCTCATCCCACATCACCCTCAAATCCATGTCTGGGATCAGGGCTTGTTGCGCGAGCTTTCCCTCTCATTAAATCGATCGATTCGTATATCACGTCCAAAATCGTGAATATAATCACATGGCCACGATTCTCGCGGGTTCGTCCCAGGAAATCCCCCGGGCCAGGACACGGTGTCACGGGGGAAAAGAGTTGAATTAAATTCGGCTGGGAGATTCTCTTCCTAATATTGGTATCCTATCAGGTGGTGAAGACCGACAAAAAGGTAAACCGCCGGTCGAAGGGTATCATGGGTGAGAGGATGCCACAAGATGGATAGTCGTGGATGATGGGTGTCGGGGAATAACGACTAGGGGTACCCTCAAGACTTGTTGGCAGCGCCGTTAGCAGCTGCGAGATGTTGCTTGAAGACCTCGGGGTCGCGGACAGGGTTAAAATAGGGGTGCCCCTGGGCTTCCTTGGCGGTCAGACGTTCCTGTATATGGGTTAAATTCACTGAGCTTCCAAATCAAGATCTCATAAACAAACCTGGTGGTCGTATCGCAATAGCTTATCAAGGAAATCAATGGCTTCATTGGAGACGAATCGCTGGTTCTCAGACGTGACAAAGCTGTGCCAGGGCTTCTTCTGGAATCTACCAAGAATATCGTCGTACTGCGCATCTAGTTCGATCTCGTACTTATCGATGTAATCGAAAAGGTCGTCGGTACCGAGAACCTTAGCGATCTTGACGAGCTGATCCGAGTTGCTGTTGCCGTGGAAGAAGGGTTCCTTGCGGAAGATCATGGAGGCAAACATGGCTCCGAGACTCCACATATCGAGACTATAATCGTACTCCTGGAAATCGACCAAAAGTTCGGGACCCTTGAAGTACCGCGATGCAACGCGAACGTTGTACTCAGTGCCAGGGTGATAGAATTCGGCCAGACCCCAATCAATGAGACGAAGCTAGGAATTGTCAGTAAACGTGAAATCGCCGGTTGGTTTCGGGGTGACCAACTTTTCGGTTCTCATGATCGATCATAACGTTATGAGGCTTGACATCACGGTGCATGATTCCCTTGCTGTGGCAGAAATCGAGGGCCTTCAGGAGCTCGAAGATGTAGAATCGGACATCAATATCGTTGAACTTGGGGTACAAGCTTCGGAAATCGGTGTTGTTGACATGCTCAAAGATGAGAGACGGTGTCTTGCTCTGATTACGGCTGCGATTAGTTGGAGCCCGGAAAGCTAGGGGAGCAGACAAAGGACCAACCTGAGAGTCACGAACAACGTCAAGCAAGGCAACGACGTTGGGTCCACCAGCCAGATTCTGCAAGATCTTGATCTCTCGCTTAATCTTCTTCTTCTTGACAGGCTTCAAGACCTTGACAACGCACTTCTGGTAGTTGACAACATTGATACCCTCAAAGACTTCGGAGTACTTTCCGCGGCCTGCAGCGCACACAAGAGTGTTAATGAGTCAACGATAAATCCGTAGTAGTTGACATACCGATCTTTCGAACAACCTCGTAGTTTTCCAGGAGACCCCAGCCTACAAATGTCGATTAGCTACGTCGTCGGCGAGGCTCTCACGTGGGAGAGGGCATACTGATATTAACACTGTCGTAGTCCCAGTAACTGCGGGGCATGCTCTGGTTGACATCGGCGTAGACGCGCGCCATGATGGGCAAAGGAGCAAGGGCGTCGCAAGAGGCGCCTCTGACGGGTGAAAAGGGTGTTTTGCTGGGTGAAGATAATCGGAGGTAATAGTCGTGATACTAAAGATGCTGTTGGAGGAAGTTCGTTATCGGTATATAGCTTGGCGGGCCCAAGGTCGGAGGCTGAAGAGGAAGAGGCTGGACCTGAATTGACTTGGGTTTGCAAAATCAAGGTGGGATGGCATTTCGAGTCGGGTCCAGCCCAGGATTACCCCGTTGTTTTGGCGGGCGGGCCAGACCGTGATTGGTTGCGGCGCTTATCGGCTCATCCGCGATAAGAGATTGAATGGCACGAGCACCCTGAATTCGATCACAAGGCAAGAGCTTGGTCTGTGGACCCGGTCTCGACTGCCCGTTTGTTTCTGTCCTTGTCTTGTCTCAACTGAATGCAGTGACACCACGTACAACATTTATTATTCACCTGAACTGAAAACGACTGAAGTGACCAACTGGCCTGTTTGTATGAAAGAAAATCTGATCTCGTAACGTTCTGGCTAAATCGTTATGGAAGTAACGACTATTCTGCGTAGCATCACCCAAAGTAGATACCTATTTATAGCAACTCGACTTGAAAGGGAGACAGTTTATTAGAACACTTCCTTATGGAAGTAAGCGGCGGTATTCACTGTCTTTGCATGGTCCGACACTTCTACTTTTATCTTACATATCATGGTCAGACAGGTCATTAGCCGTCAATGTATCAGGATCTCTCAACCAGTATCCGATCCTGTGGTGTATACTGCCAGGGCATAGCGAGTGAAACTAACAGAAGCTCACAAGTCTGGAATCGCTCCAGGCACTTAACGTGTGAGGATCAGTTTGGTGAGACAGGACTAGAAGTCAATAGTTTCCCAGCGAATTGTTAAACACCTATAGTCAAAGGTTAGCGGCCCGAACAAACAAAGTTTTTGGAGTTACAGCCAGAAACTAATATATCTTTCAGAGAGAAGATTAATTGCTCGACATGTCGGGCCTGCAAAGGTGTCAGCATCAGCAGAAGCCGATGCCTCCTACACCTCCAGTCCCGATCCGACTAAGGATGACGATACGAAGGGTTTTCATCATGATGAGGAATGCTAAAAAATAATAGAGGCAACTTACATATTCCTGGTGTCTGGCGAAGTATAGTATATGTTCCCACCTGATCGAGCTCGTCCTGTATCAGATCAAGGATCGGAGAGCGTATTGTATAATGTGACAGTTTATATCCGGCATAACTGCGTATAGCATGGGATAAAGTCCGGGAGTGGTGGCATCTCTCAGTCATAAAGTGTGTTAAGTTTAATCATACTCAAGTGAGTCCAGACCTTTGTCGACAACATCCCATGTTCGTTTTCGAAGGTCGGGCTTCGGTTCAGGACGCTTAGATCCCTTCTTCCGCTTCCGCTTCTTGTTGCTTTGGAAGGATGTTGGCAATGCAGAAGGGGCGCCTTCAGCTTGCGAGAGAGCAGAACTATCGTCGCCCAAGTCCATGCGTTCGCCCATCCTTGCATCTGCTTTGGCGTTAAGCTGTTTCTCCTTCTCTTTCTCCTTGCGCAAAGCCTCGAGTTCGGAGTGTCGGAATATCTCGATTTGTTCGTCCGTTAATGTTCGTTTCACACCATCCGAATAATAGCCTAACCCATCGTCTTCTTCCCAGGAATCGCCAGCGGCGTCATATTGAACTTCATCTTGACTCGGCGGATCAATGAAATCATTCCCAAAAGAAGCGAGGGCTACCTGTGAGAAGTGGGCTTCATGGAAAGCAAAAAGGTCATCCTAGAGCAGTCAGTACAGAAACATGAGGAATTTCCAAGGGAACATACATGAGAGACGTCTGGTATGCCACGCGGACCTGTTGCTGTGAAATCTTTAGGCTGGGGCATATTGAAGGTTTTCTGACGCGATGTCAAGATTTAAAATAGGCCTTGCGATTTGGCGAAATTGGGGGAAGACGCGACCAGCAAAGCGGAATTACGTCACGTGTCGGTGAATAACAGACCCGCGCAGTTTGAGCAAGAACGCTAAACAAAATGTTGTAAGGGAAGTTGCGTTGGTAAAAATGCATGAAGAGTGCAGTGCCAAAACATCTGGCTCATGAGACCAGGTAAAGTACACATTTGCCATGGGTGCGCGATGTATGTCAAAGACCACGAGCTTGCGATTTGCAAGACTCATAGTGATTTGAGAAGAGCCAGCGCATTTTCAAAGGCTCTCACAACTTGATCATCTACATGAAATGTTAGTTTTATAGAAGATCGATTTTCGTAGCACAATCTTACAATGCTGCTGTTTTCGTTCCATTCTGTCTTCGGCGAGGTTCACAAAGCGTCTTCGGGTTTGTAAGCGTTTTGCTGCCCGCTCATCGTCATGGGCCGAAGCTGCAGCTGCCCAGACTTTGAAATACTGCAAATGCCTTAGCTTTGTCACAGATTGTTGATGACATAGAGATCTACCTTTGCAAGGGCATCTGCCTCTTTCAAGATTTCACGCTCCTGTTCGTCGGCATTGCGCAAAGCAGCCTCATAACGCGCTTCGAACTCATCCCAATCGAAAGCTTCAAGAACGCCGGGAGTCTCTGGCGAGTCAGAGATACTGGCTCGTCGATCCGTCTGGGGTTCCGGTGTTCTGCTGTTGGTATACGAATGCCTGTTCATGTTGTTCATGTTGGCCTCCTGAGAGTCTGAAATTTTCACTTCGTCTTTTCTTTGACGGTTCACGTCGTCGTCTTGCGGTGGAAGTGGTGGATCCATGTTAGATAGACACGTCGCGCTGGATCGACAGGGTTCCAGTCGGCCAAGCAACAGGGGTCGTGTTGTAGGTAGTGTAAGTGAGCACTTGAATGTTCGTTTACCTCGATCTGCGTCGGACAGCAAGTGATTTGGAGTCTCTAGGTTTTCAACACTAGATGCGTAGTGAGCTGAATACTTGACTGAAGCATGTCTAAGAGAGTTGAACTTCAAAAAAGAATTCCTTTGACCTTCAAATTGAGTTCAGCAGGCTGTTTTGTACCTGCCTTGATTAATCAAATCATGACAGGGCGGGACTAGAAGTGGATGCTCCTAATCACTTGCTTAAAGATGGGTCCGGGAAGGTGCTGGCAGCTGGGTGCCTGGAAAGGTGGCTGAAACACATGCGCCACAGTTTCTGTCGTTATTGATCACTCGTGACTCGATGTTAACCTCGAAACTTGCAGTCATCTGCCTTTCATTCACCTTTCAAAGGAAACTGACTTGATCGTATAAATATGCTCTCTTTCTTTGCATACTCAATACCCGAAGGCTGAATTTGGCCACTGTGATCAATCTCAGATCAACGGAGAAAGATAAGAACGTCATACCCAGTGGCAACAACATATCCCATGATGGACTGCGATATCTGTCATCGCAGCCATGACGCCAAGCGTCTCCCGTTTCTTTGTGCCGCGGATGCCAGAGGTGCCATTTATAACGGCCGTATTGAGAATGTGATGGCTCTCATCGAAAATGAGACTCTTCAGAAACAGATCAACGATCTTTTGAATGAGACAACTACTCCGACAAAGGATCGGAAAGATTCCCTTCAGGCGCAGCAACGAACAGCGGAAGATAGAACCACCCAGATCTTGGCCGCTGCTGATAAACTCAGAAATGATATAAAAGCTGCCAGGGAGGAGATCCAGGCTCGAAAAGCTGCTCTTTCGAGACGCAAGTCCGATATCGCTGCAGTATCTGATGGTCTTATCGAGCGCAGAGTGAAACGACAAAAGTCGGTAGAAAGGGAGACCGGCATGCACAAGTACCGCTGGACGAAGTGTGCAGATGAACTGGCCCGCACTCGGTCTTTCCTCTGCATGGCAGCAGCCAAGCTATATGGACTTACACGGGTTAGAGAAGGCCCATCTAGTAAATACGAATATCACCTGGGTGGTATCCCGGTTGTCGATTTGACTGCAATGAACTGTAAGCTCTACCGCATGGGTTTCAAGTATTTCGCTGACATTCCACAGCGTCAACACCAGAGATGATATCCACATCGCTCAGTCATATTTGTCAACTTCTGATACTCGCTTCACACTATCTTTCTATTCGCCTTCCAGCTGCCATCACTCTTCCCCATCGAGACTACCCCCGGCCAACAATTTTCAATTTGTCTGCCTCTTACAGACCTGGAGACCCCGTTTTCCCAAGCCAGTCCTCCAGCACCGCAGACATAGAGTCGCAACGTGTCTCGCGGCCAAGGCCATTATTCATAGACAAATCACTCTCTCAACTAGCCAAGGAAGATCCGGCCACTTTTTCATATTTTATCGAAGGTGTGACTCTGCTTGCTTACAATGTCGCTTGGGCTTGCAACACACAGGGAGTGTCGATTGGCGACAAGGCCCTTTTCGAGGACATTTGTAACATGGGTCGCAACCTGTACAGTCTTCTGATAAATCACCAATCTTCCGAGAAAGACCCGGCCACGCCGAAGAACGAAATCGATGGCCAAGGCAATCGGTTCGGGCAGTACTCCCACGGCACAACTTTCTACCACCTTGGTGGAGCAGAAGGTAGCGAGTTCAGCAAATCTTTCAAACTCCCCGGCCCAATGAAACTTGCAGACAAACTCAAGAAGAAACTACTCAGCGAAGCGCCCACCCCTGATTGGGAAGTTCTAGATGATGACGCATGGAAAGTTGAGGAGGAGCCAGGAAGTGGAAGTCAGATCAATAAGGATCTACAAGTTGGAGACAAAAGCTCTCCACGTCGGGGAACAAGCGGTTGGATGAGGGTCAAGAATAGATAGTATTTGTACATATATATATAGCCTCCTTGTTCGGTTGACGGCCACAACCTTGCCCTGATCATTGTGTCTGTGTATGTGTGTGTCTGTATGTGTGCGTGTGTGAAACTCCTTGTCCATTTGATAGTAATAACCTTGCTCTGGTCATTGTGTGTGTATATGTATGTGTGTGTATAAACTTCTTGTCTTTGATGGCCATGACCTTACTCTGACCATCGTGCGTGCTTGCGTGCGTGTGTGTAGTGTGTGGTATGTGGTGTGTGTGTGTGTGTGTGTATAAATTCCTTGTCCATTTGATGGCCACAAACTTGCTCTGATCATTGAACTTGCCATCCATTCCGTCAAGTCATTGTAAAATCTCTCGTGAAGTCCAAAACTCCTTCGCTCATAAACAGATTGTCGTTCCAAAATTAGGGCGGTCTTGCTTCGGTGGTGTCTAGTCTTCACCTCCATCTTCAGGTCGCAGGTCACTTAGTCTTCGCCTTCATTCTCAGGTCGATGACCTGCAACCTGGTCCCGTAAATGGTGCGGGATAGATGGGAGGATCACTAGACCGTTCTTCTTGCCAGACCCAGGCGTACCGAAAATAGATTCGGCAGCCACCCTGTCGCCTGGGTCCTTGATCTGTGGTATCGGGGAGGAGGTGGAGGAGGAGGAGGAGGTTTGTCGGGGTGTGTTAGGGGCCGAGCGCCCTGGTGCGGCAGGCTTTTGGTGGAAGATGCTCGGCTTCTTGTTCTTCCTCGCCTGTTGTTGAGCTTTGATCTGGGCCGCCTTCTTCTTTTCGAAGGCGGCCTTCTGCTCAGCAGAGATGGTTGGGGTTTGAGGTGCTGCTGGCAACTCTGATGTGAGGGTTGTGATGGTACGGTTGCCTCCAGGAAGCATCAGTCCTCCCATCATCACCGGGGCGACAATCTGCTGCTGCTGCTGTTGCTCTTGTGTGTTGTTTGAGCTTGAGCTTGGTGTTGCAGTCAGAGCAGTTATCGACCCCGGGACCAGAGTGTGCACAGCATTTCTCGCTCCCCTGACGCGCGGCTTCAGCACCCTCCTCTTCTCCATCTGCTCCTGGGTGGCCGGCTGGGCCGGATCAGGGGCCTCATCCCTTCTCTGCTTGTCTTTCGATGCGTTGCCGCGTGTCTCAAATGGGAGTGGGAGATGTGCTTCCGCGACCTCCTGCTCAGTCTCGCCTTGGAACTGTTCGTTCCCGGGGATAGGAGGCTGAGACTGATCGGCAGGAGACGCTTCGGCCTGTGGTAGTGGTGGAATCTCGACACGGGCAAACGACATCGGAAAGACTTGTTGGGCAGAAGGAGGAGGAGGAGGGGCAGAGTGGTCCACCGCGTCGACCATCTCGCTGTCGAACTCGGCATCCATCTCCATCGCGAGTTCCCACTGTTCCTGTTCCGACATGCCAAAGTCTGGAGGGGGGGTCTGTGTCGGCTGGAACAGAGGGAGATGGAAGATGGAGGCCGGCTGCTGTGGCTGTGGCTCACGGAACTGGGGGACTGGGAGCTGGGGCAGTGGGAGTTGAGGGACTGAGAGCTGGGCAGACTGGTTGATGGCCGCTTGCGCGGACGCATCGCCGAGCTCAAAGTCGTCTTGGTCGAGCAGATCTGCCAAGGCCGCCCACCACTCCTCGCTGATCTGCTCTTCCTCCTCTGTCGGGTACCCGACTTCCCCTTCTCCCATCATAACGTCCCCAGCCTGCGACGAAGTCAGTACCTGTACCTCACCTTCATCTTGCTCTTCCATCTCAACATCCTCGCATTCAACATCGATTGCCATCTCGTCCCCAGGCTGGTGATGTTCCTCTTCTTTCTCGCCATGGTTCCCGTTTTGGTCGCCAGCCCCCTCTTGGCTTGCGTCGCGACACATGGCATCAAGGCCTGCATCAAGGTCGCTTTCTGGGACGTAGCCAGAGGGGGTGGATAAGAAGTCGAGAAGGGGGTCGGAGAACGGGTCCCAGGCGGAAGATTCGGAGATGTGAGGAGTGGTTTGGAAGAGCCCCTGATAAAGGCTCTCCTCCGAGCCAACCCCGCTTTCATTCATCGGTGTGATGAGGAGTTCCGCTGGGATCTCCGGGATGAAGAAAGCGTCAGAAGCGGCGGCCTGCTCAGGGGGTGATGGATGCCGGACGGGTTCAAGGCCCGCCGCTTCTGGGGAAGGAAGGCTGTCGATGGGAGGGAGCTCTTCTTCGAGGGGAAAGATGGGTTCATCGACGACTTGGGGAGAGGAGACGACACCGACGCCAGAGATTGCGGGAGAGGGCAGGGATGGGATGGGCTCAACTACCTCCTGTCGAGGAGTCACTACGCTAGGCGTAGGCTCTCGAACAGGAGAGAAGTCGGCCCTCTGCTCCTCTCGAGCAGGGGTGATGGGGGAGGGGGAGGGGGAGGGGACGGGGATGGCGGCGGCGGTGGTGGTAGAAGAAGATGGCTTCTTCGGTGTCGTCTTGCGAGTGTAAGGGGGAGGAGGAGTTGATGGGGAGGAGCCAGCGGGAGCAATCTCAGCGGACTGAGCGCTCTGATCCACCGGCACGACCACATAGCGCTGAGCCAATATCTCAGTCTTGCTCAGGCCCCTCTCTTCAGCCAGCAGTTCAGTCTCTTGCCGGTGAGATAGAACTGACTGACGTCCGAGGATGGATTGTGGTCGCCTCTTGCTGATAGCTCTCCAGATGACGTTATGGGTTTCGTTGTTGAGCTTCTTTACCAGCAAAGAGGCCTGCCCCATCTTCTCCTGATCCGCCCTAGCACTCTCCTCTTCCTCCCGTCGAGACTGTCTCTTGTCTTGATCCTCTTGCACCAGCTTCTTCATCCAGGCTTCCGCACCGGATTGACTGAGATCTGAATCCAAGACACTCCCGGCCGAGAAGTCAGGGAACAGAATTTCAAAGTCGAAGCTGGAGTGGGTTTGAATGCGAAGAGAAATAATGGTTTCATCAACGATTCGCACCCACTGACTCACCGCAAATGCGGCACTGGGAGCCCACGAAACAATGTTTGGTGTGGACAGAATGATCCAGGTCTTGACAGAATAAGCCACCACGGGGTTGCCCATACCCCCATGGATGTGGTATTCTTCTGCCCAGATGAGCCGCATGAGGATCATGGGGATGATGGTGATGATTGAGAGGAAGGCCATGGGCAAGTTGGCCATACACTCTGCATACATCCCCGCGACGAAGAGAAGAAACGGGAACGTCGTGAACCTGGTGAGGTCGATCAACAACTTCATCATAGCGAAGAAGATGTTGTGGTACTGCTCGTCAAAGCAGTTCCCCATGTTTAATGGGGAATCCCACTCGCAGTTATCCTGGAGCGGGAGCCACAGCCACGAAGGAAGATCGGTGGTTCGCATCTTGGTGGTTGTCTGAAAGATGTGTTTGTTAGCTTTCCCATCGTCAATATAGTATATAGTATTCACGAAGGCGAAGTGAATCTCAAGTGTGTAGGTAAACACGATATGCTATGATCTGAGGGGAACTCACTTGGGTGTGGCGTGCGAACTTGTTGTTTGTCACGAGCAAAGCTTCTGTGACTGTCGAAAGAAAAAAAAGGGAGAAAGCAGATTGCCTGCGAAGATGTAACCGTCAGTTTGTCCGTCGTATACGAAAGCGAGTATGGTTACTACGATCTCGAGGAGACTTACTTGAGGATAGTGGTGGAAAACGTGTTGGTTATCAAGAGAGAGGCTTCTGTGATGATTGTGGGAAAACAACAGGAAAAAAGCGAATGGCCTGCAAAGATGCAACCGTTAGTTTTCTCGCTGTCACTGCAGTATACGATATGCGAAGGTGAAGTTGATGTGAAGCGTAGTGTAGATATATACGATATGTTGTGATCTCAGGGGAACTCACTTGAATGTTGATGTTGATGCGCGAACTGGCTGATGAGTGTGAAGCTTCTGTGATGATTGTGAAGAAAAGAAGAGATCGAGGAAGGAAGGAAGAGAAATTGAATTACGGTTAGGCAAACAGAAGTGCCAGCAGAATCTGTTTGCTGTGAATCAAACCTCAAGTGTCGACGATTGACATTGGCGAGCACTGCCGTCACTTCCTGGCAGCTGGCTGTCACTGCCAGTACATGTTCAAAGAATGCCACCCTATTAAATTTTTACATTTTGAATTGTGTTCAGAATCATGAATACAGGAACGTTAAATCTTTCTGGGTTCATTAATTGTTCTAATGTTCAATCTCGTAGTGTTCATCGATTGTTCAATACCTAGCCCACCACACTTTGAATTCGAACATCATGTACAAGCATGAACAATCACCAGGTACTCCAGAAGACATGTCAATAGATAGCTTAGCGTGGTAGATGAATGGAAGCGAAAGAGTTTCTGCATTGTTGTTTGTCACATCTATTTATTATGTATCACAAAGCTACTATGCGGTCAATACTATCATGTCCTGACAAAGAGACAAAGCCAAACCTAGGTATCTAATTCGAAACAACGCCGCTTTCTGATTCCCATATGCTACCGGTCCCGTCATCACTCATTATTTACTATGTCTGTAAAGTTGGCTAGCCCTTACGGCCTCTTGCAATCAATCGCCCATGCAATTCCACCATCACATCACTCCACTGCTCCTCACCAGCCCCAACAGCCTTGCCTATCCTTGTCGCAAGGAAGTCAGCGACCTTGGGAACATTGAAGTGCTCGCCGTACATTACTTTAGCCTCAGGCTTGAGAGCCATATTAAGGCCATCTCCACTTGTTTGACTGTGGAGCTCCAACTTGACTTCCACACGACTCTCCAACGGCACAAGCAACAAAGATGTTGTGATTGCTATACTTGAGTCGGAAGTCCTTTGTACTGTAGTAGGAAAGGTGGCATTGAGTCGCTCGATTTGTGACGACACAAAGTTCGCCTTGTCCCAAGCAACCTGCACACTGTTGAGGAGGTGAGAAACCTCGGTGCGATTATGTGGGAGTGCACGAGCGTAATCGCGAATAGTTTGTAAGAAAAACTCCTTTTCCGTAGTCTTTGGTCGTGGGTTTTCTTCTCGATCCACAGCGATGTACCAGAGATCTATTGTTGTGTTGGGTTGGTGCTCTTGGAATGCCGTGATATCAAAAACAATCTCGATTTCACGTTTGTATGCCATAGATAGAACAGTGCCAGAAATACCAGTCACCGACCAGCCATGTTGTTTCTCGATAGCATCAACTCGAGCTACACATTGGGTTAGTAATCATTTATTAAGTTGCCAAGAACACGTACCTTTGAGGCTGTTAACCTCTGTGCTCGTCCAGCCACGACACTCCTCTCGAATTTTCTCAGACTCTGCAATATCATCAATGCAGTTCTGTTTCTGGGTGATCAAATCCTCAACCTCAACTTCTGAGGCTTGAAACTGCTCTCTCAGCTCTGCGATGCGTTTTCTCTTGTACTCAACATCTTCATCGAGAGAGGCAAGCTCATCACGAGCAGCTTCGAGATCAGCAGGATCACAGTCGGCAAGCTCTCGGGCGACTTCCTCAAGATTGTTGCTCTCCTCCACGAGCGACTTGTAACGAGCCACGATATCAGGTAGGACAGAATCAAGAAGACTTTTTTGCTTATCCAAAAGTTCCTTATCGGCTTCCATGCCTTCGTCGATGCCTAGGAGGCCTTGTCTCAAACCCTCTTGTAACTTCATTCGCCACTCGTACCACATAGCCTTACTCAGAAGGCGGGCGTGATTCTTGACGTTCATAAATTGCTTGTCCATCAAGGTCTTGACGTCAGGTGCGGCTGCCATATATTCCTTGAACAGCGGAGGGTTGTCCTCAAAGGTATCGGTCTCGATCTCCTTGACAATCCTACGACCCTCGGAGATATACTTTTTTAATTCACGACAGGAGTGCTGGTATAGCTCGAGCATTGGGACAGTGCAGGCTCCTGCAACAACACAGCGCTCAAGTGAGAGGTCCTCCTTGCCCTCGTCAAGGAATCCATTCTCGAGGGTTCCAGGGGCTTGCGTGTGACGGCGCTTGGTGGTTGTCAGTTCCATGAAGCGGATAGAAGTCATGTTCAAGAAGTCCTGGAGATGGACTCTTTCTCCGTCTGCCTCGTCCTCTGCCTCTGCTTCATCTTCCAGTTGTTCGGCGTCTTTAACAGGCGATTCATCGAAATTGACTTGATGGCCAGCTCGATCATCTGCGACATCCTTGAATCTTCCCTGGTGCCTTGGTGTGGTTGCTGCGTCAGGCTTCGCTGGTGAAGATAATGTCGGTGTGGCCGTGTTAGGCCCCAAGCTTTTGCGGAATGAAAGGTTCAGTCTCCCCGTCGTCTCTTCTTTAGAAGGCGGCTGTTGGAGTCTGATATTCTTCACTGGGCTTCCTTGATGACCCTTGAGTCTCTTCACGCCATCACTCTCTTCGGCCTCTTCCTCATCATCAAGCTCGTTCGGTCTCTTCCCCAAAAGGCCCTTCGCACTCCCAACGTGAAGACTCTTGCGCCCTTTGAGCGGCTTGCGTTTGGGGCTCAGGCTGTCGATCATCTCGCGCAGGTTAAGCGTAGCTTCGGCACCGTCAGCTTCCCGTTCGAGAATCTTTCTACGATTCTCTTTCTCCTCTTCTTCCCAAGCTTCACGGTCCATCTCTTCTGTCATCTCTTTGGGATCCTCGAACATGACACCACGTTTTCCGGGCACGAAGTTAGTAGCCACGTCGCCAATGGAGCCTCGGCGGTCAAAGAGTGCAGTGACCTGCGGTGACCCAAGTCCAGGTCGATCTGCACCAAGTCCCGAAAGTGATCGTTGAGGTGTCAACGTGACTGTCGGTGTCCGACTGCCATTTCTGAAACTGTTCTGGAAGAGCCCTTGCTTGGGAGTGGACTTGACAGGCGACGGAGTCCTGGAACTGACTCTGGTAGTTCTAGCGGATGATGGTCGTTTTGGAGAAGCAGAAAGGGGCCGTTGTGCAGAACGAGGAGTAGTCATCCGTTCTGATACAACTGAGTCGAGCTGAGGTGTAGCTGGTTTGGCGGATGCTGGAGTCCTGACTTTGGCTGACTGTGGTGTTGTTGTCGACTTCACAGGTGAGGGCGTCCTAGAATTTCGAGTGCTTCGTTGAGGCGTTGGGATCTTGGGGTTGGTGGCATTTCGCGAAACACTTGCTGGAGATTTTGCGGGAGACTTTGAGCGTCGGGGACTTGGGGTGGTGGTTTGCATCTCGCTCGTAGCAGGGGGTGCGAGGTAGTCATTAGCAGGAGTTTTGCTAATGGCGGCCTGGATTGCTTCGTCTGGGTGGGCTGCGCTATCAGCTTCTTCCTCCATGACTCTCTTGCCCAGATCTCGGAAGCCATTTTTTACTCTGTTGAGAATACCACCAATAGCAGTAGTCATATCCATGCCCATCGTAGCGTCACCTTCATCTTCGTTGTCTTCTTCTTCTTCGTCCGGTTTTGAGAGAATTTGGCCAACTGCAAGAGTTATATCCATCGGGGCGTCATCGTCGTTTTCATCGTCAGGTTGAGAGACTGTACGCCTTCGGGAAGCAGCGATGCTCTTCCTCTTGTTCTTCCCCAAGACCCCACCCATGATAGTGGTGAGTTCCATGGACATGTCCTCATTAACATCCGAGTCATCCTCTTCAGTAGGTGGTGGGCGTTGGATGCCTCCAATGGCAGTCGTAAATTCCATAGTAGCTTCTTCCATTGGGGCATCATCTTCGTCTTCCTCGTCATCCACAGGGGCGCTCGCTTTTTGAGGTTGGTTGACAATACCGCCGAATGCACGTGTGACATCCATGGACATATCTTCGTCTGCATTGCGTTCTTGTGGGGGTTGACGGTTAAGTATGCCACCCACCACACGAGTAACATCCATAGACATGTCTTCATCTGGGTCGAACTCTTGGTTTGGCTGAGGCTTGATTATACCACCAACTGCGCGTGTCATGTCCATATCCATATCCATGTCCATTTCCATGCTCATCTTTGTCTCTGTAGGATCCTCTGTGTGTGGTTTCGGTTGAGCCTGTTGAGGGCGGGGTGGAGGTGGTAGATTCTCCTGGTCCTGAGCAGCGATGTTTTGCTTGTTTGCGTCTTTACCCCATCCAAACGAGGGAATGAACTCTTCGTCGTCGTCTAGATCGTCATCATCTTCGTCGTCCTCAAGCTGTTGGGCACCGGCTCTTCGCGCAGCCAGTCGAAGGGCTTCGTCTAGTGTGGCCGACTCTCCATCGTCAGAATCAACAGACCGATCTGAGGCAGCTGTTGTTCCAGTCACATCGTCGACAGTCATCATCGTTCCGTCGTCAGACTCGCTGCTGTCATCGTCACCATCTTCTTCAACATCAGCAACCTCTTCGACCGCATCTGCAGGCTCGGAATCTGAACTATAAAGTGTCGTCGCAGTATCGTCGTCGGAGTCGTGAAAGTCGATCTGAGGAGGGCCTGAGCCTCGTCGGTTATTCCTGTCTTCCTCATCCTGTTGTCTCTGCTGTGCTGCAGTAGAGTTTCGTCTCGTCGAATCTGTAGATGTTGTTGAATCTTGATTGAATTCGACTTCGTGGAAGGTATGTAGTGTTGCCTCGGCGGCGAATGATACGCGACGGTTGGCAAGTGATTTGCGACGGGCATCGCGACGTTCCCGCTCCTCACGTTCTCGTGCTGCGGCTTGTTGCTCCTCCTCGGTCTTGACAGCAATCTTAGATCCACTATTCTCTGAGCTGCGCAAAGTAGGAGTCGAAATCTCTTGTGTCGGTGTTCCAAAGTTAATTAGGTCTGGTTGTCTGGGCTTCAAGGGGGGTATCTCGGGAATTGGCATGGTTGGTTTTAGGATTGAACGCGGGGCGGCTCTTGTAGGGACGGCAAGAGACTGAGTTTATTAGTACATGATATAGAATTAAATAACAGAAACAAGAATCATGTCTCACAGCTCTTCTGTTCCCGTTGGTCTTCATAAGGGCATCTAGGCCGCCAGGACCCAAACTCTTGCTCCTTGACTTTTTGCGATTCGCAGCCAGCGAACTTGTGACGTCGGTTGTCGCATTCTCCTTCTCGAAAGCTTTATTAACATCTGTATGCGCACCGATTGATCTGCGCGTGCGCCGCGTGGCGGGCAGAGTGGCATCGCCAGGCGCCATTGTGTGTGAGTAAGTCGCTGAATCTTGTCTGGTACAAGTTCATTCCCCAACATGAAGCGCGATGGCGATAAACTGATAGTGGGTTGTGACTAGCAATGCATTAACTACATCCATCCATCTCACGCGTGTTTGTTTACTTCGGCAGCGCTGTTAGGGGCAGGGGACCCACGTCGCCGAGATATCCACTTTAAAGTGCAACAAGCAACTGGCGCCAGCTCACGTGTATCACACTAGCCACAATAGTATCCTCCATCACGTGTACCATCGATCAAGCTGTGGCGCAGCAATAAATTTTCCAAGCCCTAACCTAGAAATGTGTGTTGATTTTTGCCCTACTTCTCCATCTCAGCGAAAACTACTGTCCGCCTTAGCCAGTCTCAACATCCGCCCAACCAGCAACCTACGACACGCCATCTCGCTACGGTACCTGCCCGAGAAGGATAATTCAAGATGTCAGTCACAGCGAAACGAAATATCCGATGTCGAAAAAACGAATGAGTCGCTAACCTTTCCATCAGGGCGACCGAGTTGACCGTCCAGTCGGAGCGTGCTTTCCAGAAGCAGCCTCACATCTTCCAGAACTCGAAGACCAAGACCAAGTCCACCCGACCGGGCAAGGGTGGCCGACGATGGTACAAGGACGTTGGTCTGGGTTTCCGAACCCCTAAGACCGCCATTGAGGGCAGCTACATCGGTACGTGCGAAAGAATTTAGGACATGGGGAATTTTGAGGACGAAGAACGAACACGAAATCGCCAAACGAATGCACGAGGAAGACGAACGAATGACGGGGTGTCATGGAAGACAAATGATGGGAAAGATTTATATGGAGAGCGCATTGCTGACATTTTGACCTTGCAGACAAGAAGTGCCCCTTCACTGGTCTCGTCTCCATCCGTGGCCGTATCCTGACCGGCACCGTCGTTTCCACCAAGATGCACCGAACCATCATCATCCGCCGCGAGTACCTCCACTTCATCCCTAAGTACTCTCGTTACGAGAAGCGCCACAAGAACGTTGCCGCCCACGTTTCTCCCGCTTTCCGTGTCCAGGAGGGTGACCAGGTCACCGTTGGCCAGTGCCGACCTCTCAGCAAGACTGTACGTTTGGCCCGAACAATTTGGAATCTCTACGTGTCAGGGATGATCGCTAACATGAATTCAAGGTCCGCTTCAACGTCCTGCGTGTCCTGCCCCGAACCGGCAAGTCTGTTAAGAAGTTCTCTAAGTTTTAAGTTGGGACTTTCTTCTGGCATTTTTAAGGCGTGATAAGCATCAGGGCAAATGGAAAATTTCCCCTGAAGGGTCGGACACCGGATGTTGCGTTGCAAATGATTGTGCTATAGATGCAATCGCGAATAAAAAAGGATTCACGAAGACAATTGTTTTGGGTTGATGGTTCAATCGGGCGTGATATGGCTAGGAAAAGGGTCGTCATGATCTCAAGATTACGTTCATACCTTTGACTATTCACCGACCAAAAATACCAGTGAAGAGCTCATGCTTAAACTTGTGAGATGCTGTTGCGTCCGTGATGAAGCTCTTCGTTCATGATATCTAGACATGGCTCGGCTTTGGAAATGAGGTGCTGTTCACTTCAAAATAAAATAGCGATGACAATTGATGACCAAAACCACATCTGGATCAATTGTGTGACATTAGCTGCTTTGTAGTTCTCAACTTTGAATTGCTCTTCTTGATATGAGCTTCGTCTGATTGGCAACGTTGTAAATGTAGTAGACATACAGTATTTCGTACAGTGCCAGTATCGTATTCATACCTCCACTTTATCGCAGTTGAAGCTATGCTGAAAGTTTGGAGGGTCGATTTCGCATCCAGCTCCAACAGATCTCTCTACCCTCTACTTCTGCTAAATTAAGCGCCTCTGTCACAATGGGCTGGATATCTTCGATTATGGGCACCGATAAGTCGGCAGACCCTTTAGCAAAACTCGACCCCAGCCTCCGCGACTTTCTCGAGAAAGAATCTCCCCTCAAATACCCAGCATCCCAACCCACGAACCCTCCCCGAGCGACTCAGCAACCCAGCAATTTCGATGCCGCAGTAACAGAATTACAAACTCCAAAGCCAGCTGCTCCTTCAGCGAGCTTATATCAAGACGGACGATATGCGCACCTATGGAAGAACTACCGCCCGTTGGCCGAAATTGAAGCCGAGACGGCAACCGATCATGAAAAATTGATGGGTGTGTTGGAAGCGTACAAGGAGCGAAAGGAAGCCATTGGCAAAGCGGCGTTGGAGAATTGCGCTGAGTATCAAGAGGAGTGGGTGAATTGCATGAAGCATGGAAGTTGGGACGACCAAATACAAATGTGCAGACATCAAGTGCGCAGATTTGAGAGATGTTACATGATGCAATCGGTATGTTGCTCACGATTGATATTTGATGCTCCAGATTTCTAACTATATACAGAGATTCCTTCGTGCGTTGGGCCACGGATCAGTAGTGGGCAGATCACCCCAGGTGGAGGAGGATATCCAAATGCATGCCGACGCTCTCTACCAACGGATGATGAAGCACGAAGAGGCAGTAGAAAAGGCCAAGGCCGAAGGTCTTCCCGTTCCCGTCTTCAAATCTACACTGCCCAAGGCCAAGGACGACTCCGTCGTGCCCACAGAAGAACTCCAGCAACAGTGGAAGGAGCAATTGGACAAGCTACCGGCTGAGGAGCGTGTGGTTGAAGAGGCTGCTCTTCGCGCCGATCTGCAGGCCAAGGCCGAGGTCGCCGGCAATGTCCAGAAGATCTGGGATAGCCAGGCAGAGCAAAGAAAACAGAGACAAGCTCAAGGTAACTCTACATTCGGAGACTACATTACTTCTCTGTTTGGAAAGTCTGGAAAATAAAATGGGAGGGCCAGGAATGGAGACTTGTATAAAATCTGTATATCATGATAAATGCGCATCAGGAAATATCACTACCAGGTACATACTTGAAGAATTAACGTTAAATCAATGACTATGTTAAAAGACACAGAACTGCAAGCTTCAGGTTGCCGCTTCGTTTATGCTGTGATTTCCAGAACAACGTTTGATAACTCAATGCCACTTGTGTTTTGGTTTGGGTCGAGCACCGCAACTGTACGAAAACAACATGCACCACAGTTTGAATATTTAAGTATCTAATATTAACAACTTATGTTTACACTTCTTTTGATATGTTGGTATGATTTGCAACGTGTATCAAAGAATTGCTGCGAGCAAGATCATGGCATCCCACCTACCCTACATCGAAGCTCGACGAGCATGCGAGCCACCAACATGGGCCCAAAATTTTGACCGTCAAGTATGGCATTTTGTTAACACCATGAGAGATCCCTCTTCGAACCCGGGCGGAGCCACATTTTTTGCCCAATATAGCCTTGAAGACTGGTTGACCTCTTCATTCTGGCCATTTGTTGGCCCCTTTCTTGTCAAAGGCTCGAATAATTGCTTCACCTGGACAAATTCTCAGTCAGAGTTGCTTTGCAGATTCACAAATCATTTTGTGTTTGCACCAATATCTCAAGAGACCAGCCTATATGAAAGCTCCCCTGGAGGACAAGACGTAACATGAGAAATAAAACATGTACCCGTTCGTTTGCCATCTCAATCGTTGAGATGGCCGACTGAAAATTGCAGTGTAAACTCAATTAATACTTTTACTTTGCGATTCAACTCATCTAGTGAATAAATCTCTCAATTCCTTCCATTTTTAACCAAATATCGTCTGCTTTAGCTTCTCCTTCTCTCCACTGCTATCGCACATGTCGCGGAACACGCCCTGTTGCTCGTAGAGCTCCTTGGGCGTTCCAAACTCTGCGACTTGACCTTCGGAGAGGACAAGGATACGATCGAAGTCAGCAATCGTGCTAAGACGGTGTGCAATAACGATCAACGTGCTATCAGTAAACTCCTCTCTGATGCTGCGCTGGATGAGTGCATCAGTAGTCATGTCGACAGCTGAAGTGGCCTCGTCCAACACCATAATCTTGGGCCGAGCTACGATGGCACGGGCCAAACATAGCAGCTGACGCTGACCTTGTGAAAGGTTACCGCCAGATTCAGAGATGGGGCTTGATAGGTCTCGGAAAATGTTTGTGTTCTTGACAGCGATTGTTGACGTTGCTGGCGAGGAGGGTTCGTTCGCGGGAGTGGCGGGCTGAGAATCGACAAGGTGGACACGACTGAGTGACTCACGAAGCTCATCATCTGTGTTATCCTCGAATGGATCAAGGTTAGATCTGATGGTGCCTGAGAAAAGCACAGGATCCTGAGGAATAATAGCCAGGCGGGATCTCAAGCTATGCAAATCAACCTTGGAGATATCCAGACCATCAATCGTAACACTGCCAGAGCGAGCTTCCAAGAATCGGAACAGAGCAAGGGTCAGGGAGGACTTTCCGGCACCAGTACGTCCCACAACACCGACTCTCTCGTTGTTCTTAACATCAAAAGAGATTCCCCTCAACACGGGTGGCAAATCAGGTGCATAAGAGACCTCCAGGTTGTCGATCTCCATGGTTCCTGATGTAGGCCAAGCGGCAGATGGCTTCTCTCCCTCAAGTGACTCAGTCTCGAGCTCCGTATATTCAACAATTCGCTCCGTTGCATTCATGTTCAGCTCCATAGTCGCGTAGTTTCGAATGGTCCAAAGAATGCTCTCGGCGAAGTCCATAGCGAAGGACAAGGTGAATCCGGCAAGAGCGGCGTCCATACTAGGACTGACGATGACAATGATGCCAACAGTTATCGAGAAAATTGTGCCAATGAGACCCATGCGCAGACCCATCCAGCGATTGACAAGCCACATATAGGAAGTGATGATGGCCCATGTGTCAAGTTTCTGATACATCCTGTCCATGTAGACCCGGGACTTCTTGTATCCTCGGATCGTAGAAACACCCGCGAGTGCTGCGTTAAAGAGCTCGAAAACGGGCGACTTACAAGTACTCTCAAGTCGCTTCAATGGTCGTGCACCGTAAAGGAATCTATTGCCCAGAATACAACCAAGCCCCAACAAGGCTATGGCCAAGGGAATGACAAAACCAGAGGCAAAGAAGGCGGCGACACAGACACCAACTAAAGATAAAAGGTTGGAAATGAATTGTGTCCAGTCCATAGTGATGCGATTGTCGACGATGTTGAAATCTGACGAGAATCGGTTCAGAATTCTACCAACAGGAACGGTATCAAGCCATCTCAGGGGAGTATGGAGAACCGTGAACAACATCTTCTCGAAGAGCGATCGACTCGCCTTGATGGCAAGGTAGTAGGCCCAAAAGAATCGGAAAGTACCAACAACTGCTGTGACACATGAGATTGCAATATAAATCCAGAGATAGTATTTCAAATCGTAATGAGATGCGGCCTTGAACTCAGGTGCAGAGTTGTATGGGAAATGTTGCAGTGAAAAGACCGAGGCATGGCCGTGCTGTTGATGAATACTGCCAGTAGAAACACTCTCGTCGACATCACCAGTCCAGATTCGAAGCCACCATGCTCGAGCTAGAATTGTTAGCAAGACAACATACTTGGATACTTCGAGACATACCGAGAATTCCAAATTCAAAAGCAAGGAAGACGATAGCACAGATACTCCACATCCGGGCACCGCCACTGTCTTTGAGATAAGTAAGATAAACGTGTTTCTTCACCATACCCTTCTCTCGTGCTTCTTCCTCAACAAATTGCTTAGCGGCCTTGGAAGGCACCTTCTGCAATGGGTTGTTTTCATTTGTTTCAGTGGGGTCGGTGACAGAGGCATCTGAGGAGTTGACAGCAGTAGATGAATCCGTCGTCTCATCTTCTGTAGCCGGTTGTGCACTCTCTTCATGCTGTCTGATTTCATCCAGAGTTCCATCACGAACAAAGTCAGCTACTAGACCGCAGTGCAGAGCCATACCTTCACCAAGCTCGACAATGTACTTGGCCTTCGACTGGACCAGAGCAACGTGATGAGTAACAAGAATCCTCGTTCGTCCTTTGCAGATATCGCCTGTGACACACTTCTCGAAAATGTGTCGACCAACATGTGCATCGACAGCACTAAAGACATCATCCATAACCAAGATCTCAGCACGCGAGTAGATAGCTCGAGCTAAGGTTACTCGCCACTTCTGTCCACCGCTGAGATTGATACCGTTGGCGCCGAGCTCCGTCTTATCGCCATCTGTCAGAATCTGTAGGTCCTTCTTCAGAGCGCACACTTCGACGGTCTGATTGTAGCGTTCCTCAATGAAGGGCAGGCCGAACAAGATGTTATCACGGAGAGAAGCACTTTCAAGCCACGGGGTTTGACCAACATAAGCGACGGAGCCGGGAAGAATCCAGTCGCCAGGGTGAGCCTGTGCATCATGTCGCTCCTCAGGGGAGACGGTCTGGGGCACACAGACAGAGCCCTCCAAAATGTCTGTCTCGCCAAGGATAGCAGAAAGCAGCAAGCTCTTTCCTGTACCAGTCTTTCCTGAAACAACAGACAACTCACCGGTTGGAAAGCTGAAGTTCAGGTTTCTAAGAATAAACCTATCCTCATCGGGCTTTTCGTCGTCCTCAGGCCAAGCGATAGTTGCATTCTCAAAGGCAACCTCTGTTCCTTCAGACAATGTCTGCTTCATCTCAGGGCCGTTGAGGTATGTCTGAATTCGTTTTAGAGAAACATAAGTGTCGACTCCCATTGTGATAAGTTCCGGCAGTACACCAAGTGAGACCTCCAGAGCCTTGAAGATTCCAATACTGACGAAAGCAACCGATGGTAGGAGTTGACCATTGACGATAGCGTAAACGGCAAGAGATGTCGCGGCGAGAAGGATAGGACTGACGACCCAACACCCGAAAAGGCCGGTATCGATGACAAAGAGTCCCCAAAGAGTTTTGAGTTCCCTCTCTCTCATAGTCAGAATACGTTTTTCCCAACGACTTTCCAGCGCAGCAAATTTGATCTGTCGCATGCCGAGCAGAGCTTCGTTGACCACGGCAAGCTTCTCATCACGAAGCTTCATGAGCTTGTCTGATCTGCCCAACAGTTCTTTCGAGAAATAAGCGTTGGCAGGAAGGGTAAGACCCCAGGCCGTGAAACCAGCGATGAAGGGAATCCAGCCGATGAGTCGAACCAAGAAGAACGAAAAGAAGAACAACTTGAAGATGCTGTTGAAAATCAGGCATTGAAATCCTGTGAAGTTGGAGATTCGTAAAGCATCAACGCCGACGAGGTTAACGATGGCTTGTTGAGATTTGAGCACGCTCGAACCATCGTCAGATTCATCTTCCTTTTTCTTGTCAGGCGTCTCTTGCGACTCGTCTGCCTCTTTTGACTTTTCTGCAGATTTGACATTCTTGCGTCGAAGAGATTTCTCAAAGATAAGCGTTGAAAGCTGAGACCGAATAGGGAGAGCGATGCATGAGAACGAGTACCAGAAAACCCATCCCTCAACCCAAGCATCCAGAAGGTTCAAACCAGCCATGGCAAATATTAAAACCCAAAGCTCTAGATTTGATGACCCGGCCAGTCCCACATCACGCTGTTCAAGAATATTGATGACTCGTAACATAGCCCAGAAAGGCAGAAGAGCCAAGACATTTCGAAAGGTGGTGAGAGAGAACTGGAACACAAATGGGCCTTTGTAGGCCCAAAATACCGAGCGTACAAGGCTAACCCCAGGTTTAGTTGCAAACCAGTCTTCTTTCAGACCTTCAGCTCGCAGAGTCCTGTCCGGATAAGGAACATCAGTTACGTCGAGATCTTTCTTTTGAACAGCAAACTTGATGAGAGGGCTGATCCAGGACCAAGTGTAGCGGTTGAAGGCAGATACAGTCCACTGGCCATCGACCTTGCGATCTTCAACAAAAACGTCAGGTCGGCGTGGAAGTAATACGCTGAAGAGGCCGAGAAAGAGGGCAGCGCCGACATTCACAGAACGAAGTGCAAGAGTAGCGGGGGTCTCGTGCGAAGCATGTTGGGCTTCCCTGCTTAACTGGGGTACAGTAATAGCCGCAACAACAATTGAAGAGGCCAAGAGCCAGAGTCCAAGGTCGTGGACCTTTACAGGTGAGTGGTGGGCACTTAATGAGATGGCATGCAGAACAATTAGAGCCTATGTGAGGAAAATCGTTAGTTTCACTTGAAAATACTTGCGGCTTCAAATTACTCACCCACGCGGCTGCGATAAGCCAGTTTCTAATAAACAATTCTCCAAAAGGGGCATAAAGAAATGATAGCACTGATATGGCGGTTGATGTTCCAAAGCCGGTAACAGAAAAGGCGAGAATAAAGAGTTTGGGTAGCCGGTTCGAGAAGGCAGCAATGCTCTCTGGCGTACTTTTCCCATCGACGTCTTCATAAAAGTTATCCTTGGGAGTGCGCTTCCGCAGTTGGTTGATGGCTGCGACTAAAGCATGAGCAGTGGCCAATCCTACGAGACCAAGGCCCGTGCCAGTCAGAGCAATATCGATATTATTGATAGCCATCATGACCGATATGTAAGACCACAAACGAAGCGCTCTGAGAAACAAAGGCGGTAACCGCCTGAAGGCGATATTTTGTGTTGCTCGTTCTTATAATAGCAGTTATGCTTGATGATGCGTTGAGATCTTGTGAATGTATACCGAAAGCAGTCTCTAGATCGACATGCCTGAAAACGAAGGAGATGAGAGAAGTAGGTTGCAAGAAAAGTGGCAAGGGTTCAACAGAGACTTTATGTGATCCTCTCAAGTCAGTCACATTCTGCACATGTAATGAATAAGCTGGCTGATGCCGCTTCTAGGATATGTAGAAAAAGCCGGGGCCCATATTATGTTGCCGTCTTCCGCGCTTGGGTGGATTGAGTCAACGAAATAAGACGGCAAAGTGTGATTTTTGGGTCAAGTTCAAAAGTCTTGGTGCTTAATAATAACAATCAACCGCTCAAAAATGGTCTTGCATGGATGAATTGAGGGGTGTTGTAGGGATAACGAGCTGGGTTGGGTTGCTCAAGATACAGTATTGCTTGTAGGCGGTGCAACATCATGGGTTGGTTGGGAGTCTAACTTAGATGGTTAGTGAATTGCAAAGTTCCTCAGATAGTGAACCAGGCTGCCTGTGACTCTTCACGGCGAGGTGCCACAGATCCACAAAGAGTAGGATTTTACTGCAAGGTATGATGTATGGTGTGCAGAACGAGTGTACCTTTGGGTACAGCCGCATTATAGATTCAACACCGGCATAATAGGACAATGTCCTTTGTCGAGCCTTATTGTGTCCATTGTGGTAGTTCCCAGAGGTAAAATGAGGCCGGCATTCAGACCGCTCGTCAGCCAGCATAAGTGACAATGCAGGGTCTTTCCGATCTAGCCAATGGAAGGACTGACGGAGTTTGAAACAACCCTGCGTGGTTGGCGGAGAATCGGAGTATGTACTGTGTTGTACTGTAACGAGTATCGCGACAATCAGTAGCAGCCATCTTGAGTGATAGTGAGATAGGCAGTGAAATTGAAGCCTTAGACAGAGCGGAGGGTCGTTTAGGCATCAGTGTTCTTTTGTACGCGGTTGCCTTGATAGCTTGGGACTAACAAAAGATCATGAACATGAAGATCGAGAATCTCTGCCAAGAAGACAAATGATACTGAACGGTCAAGCTGTAGCTGTAAGTAAGATGCAAGGAATCTGGGCTACCTAAGGCAAACCCCCACTCGGCGCCGGTGGAGTGGAAGGAAATACCGTCTGAACCGTTCAGACCCTACCCGGGACGTTTGGCCCGTGCGGCGTCGCTTAACCTGGCATTGGAAGGTGGGCCCCCGGCCAGCCGATTAAGGAAGGACCTCCAACTTCTGGCAGCACCACTCCACTGAGCTTGATAAGCAGCGGCTCAATTCAAGCACCTCGAGAACCACAGCATGCTACCCTGAACCAGGCAATATATATTGTAGGTGGATAATAGGTTTCGATGCCTATGTAGGTTCTCTCCATTGATAACCCTCAGGCAGCATGGTGCTCAACAATATCGTGTGAAGATGCAGCCTGTTGATCCTCAAAAATAAGAACATCTTCAGTTGCATACTTCGGTACCGGTTTGATCGACAACTGCAGTCACTCTTTTCCTCTGTCCAACCCTCCCATAAGCCATAGAGTCTTTACATACAACGGTGTGACTCACCAGCCGACCTTGATCTACTGCGTAGTATAACCCCAGCTGTGGCGCTTCAAGACATGCATTATCTGTAGTTTGCGAATGATGCGAAACCATCGTTCACCCAATGCCGACGTCAATGATTCATAAGACTCGTTGACTCACTCAGAGATTAAAGATATGTTTTTGAAATCGTGACTTCGATTTCAGGTACTATGTGTTCCCTGCTCCCCCTATTGACACGCATACCTATTCTTACCTTTGCGGTGAACTACTAGGCCAATCGCTGTCCCAACTGTATGATAGGAGAGGGTTGGGCCTGGTGCACCAAGGTCTCTAAAAAGCAGTAATTCGTAATTGAAAGTTGCCAGAAGCGGTCAAACCATAGGGCGAGGCTATATGCCAGGTTGGGACGTACTATAATCTCACAGTATGGCTTACACGGATAGTCGCTGACTTTAGGAGCTCAACTGACAGGGGCAATCGACATCGAGAACTACAGTAACCAACACAACCTGAATAGACCAAGCTAAATGAGACACAACGCGTGTGTTCTTCATATAGTATCATAGCTGCTCTTAGAACGCAGACGAATTCACCAACAACCGAGATAGGTATGCAGCATAGGCATGAACGAAGCCCCGAGAAACGTAACATTCGTTCTTGAATTTACAGCTTTACCCGTTTATCTTCTGGACTTATATATCCCGTGTTCATCCTGCCCGCTCTCGCTATTGAGGGAAAGTATGATGGTTTCGCCGCAGGTACCAATTATCAGATATCGAACTATGCCTTGACAATTATTCTGTAGGTACTAGAGCATCTTGGAGAATGCAGATACCAGCGAGAAATCCCGTAACATTCAATCTTTTTTCTGTTGCATCGCAAGTTCTTCATCAAGGGCTGAGCAAGTGTCCAGAATTGCCTACCCAGAAGCAACTTCGGACAGAGCTTTGCTGTGTCATGGCGCAACAGCAAGCAAATCTTCTTGAGAATACAGAAAGATGTGATTCTTCTGACCCGGGTGTCGATATAACGGGGGCTATCTGCGCTCACCAATAGATAGTATGATGTTCAGCATGTCTGGTTGCCGCCATGAAGATTCATCTACCCCAATCCGAATAGCGCCCCTACTCTATATGAGTCCAAGGGCTACCATTTGGGAAACGACACTCTGCTCAGAGCTGCTGACCGAAGTGGGAAGGCGTCAATTCGGCAGTCGAATAGTCCTATTCTCCGTATGTTTCCGAGAAGATTAATTTGGCAATCATGACATCTCTAGAGGCTCCCACGCAAGTCTAATTGGCCGTGCTGTCACTACATACACCGGAACGAAGCTTGACTTGGCTTTCTTTTACAGACATAGCTCCTATCAGAGGCCCATGGTTTTGTGTTAAAAAATGCCAGCCCGTTCTTCTAGTTCCTTCTTCATCCAATTAGGTACTTGAGGAGGTATGTTACCAGACAGTTTTGACTACAAGATAGCAGTTCAGCCCTCCTGGCCATATTAACGAAGACTAAGCAGTATGGAATCTGGAAACTTCCTGTTGAATCATCTTTTTCTTGCTTCTTGTCGGGATCTGATAGTTCCCTGAGGCACTGGTATAATGATGGCCATTACGAACTCTGCCAACACTCCTAGTCTGCTCACTTGAAGAGTAAGGGACTGATATGAAGACGCCCTTGAAAACCTTTCGAGCCCTTTGTTAAATAGTTATATCGACACATAAGAGAAGTGGTTAAAAGCATCAGTGCATCCACTTGTACAGGCCATCGCGAAGGGTAGTCCCTTGGCCATTTGGTAGCAGGAAATGGTCTCGACAGCATTTCCAATTATCAAAAATCAGAAACGGAACTTATATGCGGATGCTCCAAGCTAACACTTACAGTGACTTGTAGGCAAAGATTTATATCTCCCTGATAGTACCTGGAGCATACATCTCATGCACAAGCCTTATAGCCATGGGCTCAGAAACATCCAGAGCTTTCAAGCGGCAACCGATCCGTCCCTATCGCGGGCATCTTTCGGTTTGTTATGGAGCTTCTTGACTAAGCGCCTCTTTGGTACGTGTGTAGTCACTGCTCAGATACTGACAACTTTGTCTATATATGCGATAGCTAGGTGGGCAACAGAAGAAATATCCTCTAAAACTTAGGCTATAGAAACAAAGTAGAATAAATGCTAGCCTAAGTTAAGAAAAGTTGACCAAATTATTTCATCTCTTATGGTTTTAGCGGTCAATTCTTCTAGCACCCTGCGAGATGGGTTATGTTCGACGTTGCCATTCAATAGGCAGTAGCTTTCATCCAAGAGAGCATGTAAGCAACCATACCAACTCATTTAAACAGGCATGACCAGGTATGTATCTTTCGGGTATATACGTTGGACTAACCGTGAGCCCATGGGAAGAAAGATAGCACTTGTAGTATTAGGCAGCTTATCTTTGTCTCACCTCCGATTTATGCCAAACCCATGGGGAACTCGTACTGGACCGTCACCGCCTACGGGAAGCGCTGCAGTATAATTTGCAATGCTATTCATTGCCACGTGTATTACTAGAATGTCCATGGACGACAAGTCACTGTCTGCCTCATAGGACTATGAAGAGGTGACTGGGCTAATACTGTGACGTTGTACATATACGCTGGCCAGGAAACATGTATATTTCATATACCTAAAGCAAGTTTCAGTATATATATCAAGATCACCGGGCACTCATACTCGTTAAAGATGACAAAGTAATATTTCTCGATTCAAGGAGGTGTGAATAAAGTTCAGTAAGATGTGCCTGAACTCAATGCCCGTAGTGTGGCCGAGAAGGCGACAGGTAGGTTTTAAGAAACGGAAACGAGATTACAGTTCATGACGGCGAGAATGACCAGGAACCGAATCATGCCTCAAAATCACTCCTGAAAACAAGTGTTGAGAATACTAGTTTGCACGGATAGACCTGGTCATTACCCCTGCTACATTTCTACACAAATTGATTAATACGGTCAGAGGATTCTGACAGCAGGACAAGACATGTCGTGGTCTCCATAGTGATTGGGATTCGGGCCATTGATAGCTCTGCGGATGATCAAATTATTCAACCTGATTGGCTATTTAATTGACGACCAACCTCTCTCATCTAACAAAGGTCCAACATTCTCAGCTGGCAATGGACGGACATGTTTCTCCCTCCCCCGCGTACAGTACAGTAGGACACTCCTACCCCCCACTTGGCTAGCACGTTCAGTTGACTGTCATGTCAGTTGGCTCGAATACGATATGATAACCTGCTGATTTGGGGCTAAATACAAGTCTTTTGTTTACTCGAGGGGGACGTTAGTACACATTTGGGAAGCCAAGTGTCTTTAGACACAGAGAAAAGGCACAAAACTCAAACCAAGACCAAAGTAAACGCCACGTACAGATACAATGAAAAGAAACATGAATCCATGTCTTTAAGAGGCAGCCAACCGGAATCGAAACACTTGTTTTACCTTTCCCTTTGTGTTTCCAGCGGCTGGTTTCCGTACTGTACTTTGCTTGTCATCGGATGTTTCCATATACGAACGCTAACTTTCATACGACAGAGGTAAGACAACGGCAGCACGATAGAAGAGAAAGGGGGCATTAGACTTTCTGTTCCTTTGATGAATCACTTATTTCATGATTTCACGTCTGCAGTTAGACTAGTCCTTGTCCGATGCGCTGTACATTACAGACTCGCCTCCTTTCTGGTCTGATGAGCTTTGGCCCCCATCAATCACCAACTTGGTGCTACAACCCAGCCCGTCTCAGCACCTGATGAACCGTCCATAGGATCCTAGCAGAAGACGCAGCCGCTCTGACATCCATTTCGCTGACTACAGGGCAGCAGTTGCTAGATAGTCAATGAATGCTGGATCGTAATGCTGTACGGCAAGGTTTAACAACTTGTTGGTGCAGCTTGGCTGCGACGCAAGTGTCTCGCGATTGGGTTCGAGAGCTGTAATCATTCCCACTGAAATACATCGCTAAACTGACTAGAGTACTGTATCCGTTAAGGTACCTGACAGTGCATTGCATAGCCTAGCCTAGTACCTAGCATTGCGTTTGCGTGTGTTCCGCTGCCCTGCTTTTCCCCCTCGTGACATGCATCTCCTGTATTGCTCTCCATTGGATCTTCCCCCATGTATGTGATCGCCCGCGCGTCCGCCGCAACTTTACTAGGCAGAGGTATGTAACTAAACTTGGTCTTGGTCTTGGAGTGAAAACTTCCACCTACAGCGCCCTGCATAGGCCAAACGCCCTGTGCCTCGTGCCTTGTTCCTATGACGGGAGAGTGAGATGGAATCGGTTACAGCAAGTGTCAGAGTAAGTAAGAATCGTGTAGTTGGTCGGAATAAACCTCAATCGTGCCGTTTTACTCTTCCTTACTCCTCTTTTCTCTCCTTTCTTTTCTTTATTTCTCCATTTCTCCCTTTGACTCTCAACCGAAATCAATTCACGCTCTACCTACGGATACAGAGTACTCTACTTGACTCTTACCTGCTCTTTCCCCCTTAGAACCCAGCTTGGCAATCCGCCTAACCTAATCAAAGGCTTCTAAAAGGTCCACACCAGCTCCAGCCTGGAGCTCTCCACCATCAAACTCACACCCGACCCGTTGTTACTCTACAGACTGGAACCCATTAGTCTCCAGCTACTAATACCGGCCTGCCGATTTCCATCACTGCCGATACCATCGATAATAGCTACAACCAAAGAAAAAAACGAGTCCACTTTCGCCTTGACTTTCTTTTTCTTCTCTCAATTTCCACTCCCGCGTCTTCACCCTCGATCGTCGACTTCCTTCATAACTCAAAGTGTGGGAGCAATTGAGCATCTTCCTTGTCTCTTCTCCCACAGCCTCATCAGGCCTCTCCCTACCTATGCAGCTTCCATCATATCCTGATCGACCAAACGAATCCTCACGATGAAAGCCGCTCCTCTCATCATCAATTGGCATGACCAAAATGCCCCTGTCTACTCAGCTCACTTCGAGCCCTCCGGAAAGGGTCGTTTAGCTACAGCTGGTGGTGATAATCATATCAGAATATGGAAGGTTCAAGTTGACGGCGAGGACCGAAAGGTCGAATACCTTTCAACTCTTTCCAAGCACAACCAAGCTGTCAACGTTGTTCGTTGGGCACCCAAGGGTTGGTCTATACTAACTCCTCTTCTTTCTCCCCACTAACATTCTTCTTTTCAGGCGAGCTTCTAGCCTCCGCTGGCGACGACGGCAACGTGATTCTCTGGGTACCAAGCGAAACACCACAGACAGCTTTTGGGTCTGATGCTCCGGAAGACAAGGAGTCATGGCGGGCGAAGCATATGTGTCGTTCTAGTGGTGCAGAGATTTATGACTTGGCCTGGTCTCCTGACGGCATTCACTTCATAATTGGTAGCATGGATAACATTGCGCGAATCTACAATGCTCAGTCAGGTCAGCAAACGATTACCACCGACTCGATACCCAACAGCCTCTAACACAACAAATAGGTACATTAGTGCGCCAGATCGCCGAGCACAGTCATTACGTCCAGGGTGTTACCTGGGATCCTCTTAACGAATACATCGCGACCCAGTCATCCGATCGATCCGTTCACATCTACTCTCTTAAGACCAAGGATGGCCAATATACTCTCAACGCAGAGGACAAGACTCCTAGACTTGCCAGCCATATCAAAGCCGATCTTCCTCCTCGACGTATCTCTTCCAGCAGCCCAGCCCCTCCCGACTTTGGCCATCGCTCTTCGCTCTCCGTCCTCGATCCTCCACCCTCCATTGGATCACCTGTACCTTCTGCGCCAGGTACACCCACCTCGTTCGCGCTCCCCATGAACCCTCCGAGTGTTGTCAGCCACAGCCGTCGATCTTCGTTCTCCTCTCGACGATCAGTATCACCGGCACCCTCTATGCCTTTGCCTGCTGTCATGCCCATGGATCCTTCTCCAAAGCCATCATCAGCCATGAGCAGTGGCTTGGGAATGAAGAATGCCAACCTCTACGCCAACGAGACCCTGACGTCCTTCTTCCGACGTCTTACTTTTACCCCAGATGGTAGCTTGCTGCTGACTCCTTCTGGACAATATCAGAACCAACACCTGAGCGAGAGAGACGCGAAGCCCACTTACGAGGTGATCAACACTGTCTATATCTACACTCGTGGTGGTATCAACAAGGCCCCAATTGCCCATCTGCCCGGCCACAAGAAGCCGTCCGTCGTAGTCAAGTGCTCTCCCATTTACTACACTCTACGACAGTCTCCTCCAGTGACAAGGAATATTACCATTGACACATCTTCCTCTGAAGAGCCCATACCGTCTCTTCCTGAGCCTCTGTCGAAGCCATCACCAGCTCTTTCAGTCATGGATCCACCTCCACCACCATCGAGCACGTCTGAATCCAAAACATCGAGCTCGGATGCAGCATCATCTACCCCAGGCCCGAAGCCTGCATTCTCACTCCCTTATCGCATGGTCTATGCAGTAGCCACGCAAGATTCGGTTCTACTTTATGATACCCAGCAAAAGACTCCCATTTGCGTTGTTAGCAACCTGCACTGCGCGACCTTTACTGATTTGGCATGGTAAGTTTAATCGTCACTCGGAGAGCTGAAACAGTACTAATATATCAACTAGGTCCAGCGATGGTCTGACTCTGATGATCTCCTCGTCTGATGGGTTCTGTTCTACCTTGTCATTTGCAGCTGGGGAACTGGGTGAAGTCTACAAGGGCGAAGTTGGTCCTCCCAAGACTCAGACAGCTGTGTCGTCCAACCAGAGTACTCCTATGCCCACGCCGACAAACGCGTTTGCACCACCTTCACCGTTCCCCAATGGTTCACATCACCAGCATCGCAACTCGGCAAGCTCTTTTACGGCGCCGTCTCCTCCTCAGTCGGCTTCAGTTGCTTCACAACGCCCATCATCACCTACGAGATCAAATTCCACCTCGTCAGTCGCCACTGTCACTACACAAGCCAGTACCGTCCCTGCTGCTGGAGTAGTTACCAACCCCACTCTTATTTCTGGCAACGTTCCAGGTATTGCTGCAGCAAACTCGGGTAAGGTGACGGGTGTTCCATTGACCACGCCTCCTGAGACACCCCGAAGTGCGACTGCCAGTGTTGCAGGCAACAAGCGCGATGCGAGCGACTGTGAAAAGGAGGAGAGCAAAGAGCCCAAGAAGAGGCGAATCGCACCGACTCTTGTGGAACCCAAGAATTAATCGGACTTTGAAAGAAAGTGTAATACTGCCTTCAAAAGTGTGTTTTTCGTTGTTTTTGGAGTGTTCGTTCAGGAATGGAGTGATTCAATGCGGATATGGGAATCCGTGATTTAGCAAGCATGGAAAGGCGTTTGACGAATCTGATTAAGATGATTTTGTTTGAGCGTATCAAAGTTACTGGGCAATTGTCTGGGTCAGCCTACAGGATAGGATCCTCGTTAGGTATGGAATAGATGAGCTATACAACCATGCACGGACAAGGTAAAGGGGAAGCATGGCACAAGCCTGGTAAATTATATAGTGTAAACAATGAAATTTGATAATTAAATGTTCCGAAGGTATCCGTAAAGAAGTCTTAGTTCAATACTGGCCTCCAGCCTTTGCGCTGAACGAATTGGTCAACTCCCTCATCTTTGAGGATGTCGGCGCCTCTACGGCCCGTCACAACGCTACGCTCGTAGTCTGATCCGCGGACATAGAATGAATATGTCAAGCGTCCATTTTGAGCCTCTTCGTTTTCGGTTTCTGCAGAGTCCCCTCGTTCCCAGAATGAGCGACCCTTAGTTCGCTTTTCAACAAAACCACAGGCCTGGCGGTCCAGAGAAAGATACCATCGACGTTGATGTACGCTGCCAATGGTATTGGATGCCCCTGGATACGAATTCGTCCTACGAACCTCTTCGTCCTCAAGCTCGCGTATCTCACGCTCCATAGCTGAGAGGTTCTCCGTGTTGACGCCAGAGTCAGCATTTGCAGGAACGTCCTCACTTTCATCATCGCTATCATCCTCGTCGCTTGTCTCAGGTTGCGTCTGGGCTTGCATCCCACGACGTCTTCGTTTGCGAGGTGTTCTCCCACTTCTCGCTCGGCCAGCTACGTCTTCTGATTTGGTCAATCGAAGGTTCAAGACATAAGGATCGGGTAAACGAGATCCATGGAGACGGACACGAATCTTTCGATTCTGGAAAACTTCGTGTAGAAGAGCTTGTGGTGTTGATGTAGGGGATGACACGGGCGAAGAAGGCTGTGATGCTGGATCTTCGGATGGCGAGTGCTTGCTTTTGCGAGGCAGTATACTGTATGTTCCGGTATCCCATATGAGAAGAGAGCCAGTTGAGTTTGATGCTGTCTCTATAAGATGGTTCTGAGATGAAAGTCAGTCTATGTATCAAGAAGAAAGGTTGTCCACGTACCCAGAGGCAATGTATCCGCGTCTCAGTCGCGTTGCGATTCAATCGGGTAGAGTTTGGGTCTCCCGGAAGTCCATACATGATCGCCCAACTGACACTGCTCGTCTCATTGATCTGAAGGCGGAGGTCATAGTGCGTGCCTGCAACAGGATGGTCATGTTGATGGATGACAAAGTGAGCACCTTGCTGACTTCCAGCGTTGGCAGTATATAGTGAAGCATAGTCAGATATTAATAATGAGGCTGGAGAAATTATATGCTTTGAGAGATGGTTCTTGAAACGGGTCAGATGGTCGTCTACAGTAGCTGAACCGGACTCTATATCAGCGGTCGTGGGTGGCTGTGTGGACGATACTGAGTCTAACGTCCATTCTAGATTTCGTTTCTTGATGAACGGGTTAGGGATAAGGCCCGGACTTGATGGTCGTTTTCCTGTCATGATGTTGTTTGTTGTTGTGGTTGAGTTGATAGTAAAGTCGTTGTATATGATTGGCTGTTAAACTGTTCATCCGGCACTTGAACAAAGATATTCGTAGTCTGTTAAGATTGTGTTTCATTCACTATTTCACCCCTGCATATGAAGCTTCATCTTATGATAACCTAACCTCTGATCCAGTGAACATAGTATGCATGTTACAGAGCTCTCAGACGGCCTCCCCATAAAGAGAATGATAATGCATATTATTACTAACCCGCCATGCAGGCACGGTTAAACTTATGAGACCTCATTTTATGACTGTCCCGTGAAGTCCAGAATGGAAGGGCTTTTCAAGAACCAACAACATCTGTAATTTCTCTGTTTCGAGCCATGATGAAGTCTGTTGGACTGACGTAAACTTGCTTATGATTAGCACTCAATGGGGAGGCCGAAGGTTTGTGGCGAAACCGGAAAGCCTCAGCGTCACATGGAAAGTTTTCAACCGGCTAACGGGCAGTAAAACGGCTTTGAACGAAGCAAGAACAGAGTGACTGCAATTGGCGTTTGACAAGATTAAAGGCTTGGTTTCTGATCATATCATATCATTGACTTGGAAATCATTGGAAAGAATAAACTACTGTTTAAACTTTGGATAATCACGACCATCTCCAACGGCAAGCACTCCGCACTCCGCACGAGTCGTTCGCTACTTCCTCAAAATGGTAAAAATAATGAGAGTTGGCGGGTAAGTTAAAGCGGAGCCTACCTTCTAAACCTCTAATCTGCCGAGGTCTGGCTCCTGCTTCGGTCCCCCAGTCTCGTGTCGCCCCCGGATTTTGCTGCCCTTTTAAACTTGGACGCGCCTGCCTTTCCAGCTCCAGGCCTAGGCCTGAGCTCCACTATTTTTCTATCTCTAATCAACTCCATCTTTCTCGGCTTTTCTCTCCTTCTTATCTCCTCCGACGCCCACGCCTTGTCGCGATCACATTTATCGTTCCTTTTCCCCTTCTCGAGACTGCGACAACTCGACCCTTTATCTTCCTTCGCTTTCGGCGGTACTTTTACCCGTATCCCGAGGCAACTCCGCCGTCCCCGCGCGACCACGGTAACGCTAACTGGGGGTTGCATATAATCACGGAGTCAGTCTCCGATCTTGCGTCCGGTACACTTCCCGAGGTCCACCACCCAACGTCACGAGGAGTGGCAACCAAGCGAGTAACCAAGCAAAGTCAACTCTCTCCAGGAGGCTCAACAGATCAGACGTTAGGATTTCTGGTAAAACGATACCGTTGTTCGGTAATTCATTGTCCGGCCCCGGTTTCTATCCCCTTCCTCCTTACGACAACTTTTTATCATCACTTCTCCATTGGATCTAATGGCTTCTCCGCCCAAGCCCTGGGAGCAGCCTGGCGCGGCTGCGAACGCTACTGGTAAGTCGCGATCATCCAATTCTCATTCTTTCATCCTTCTCCATTACTTCTCTGTCATGTTCCATGTTCCATGTCATTTCCCTACATCTGATCCGCCGCATCTAAGCGCTCGCTTGCTTACCATTGACACTTAGCCCCTTCTATCTCTCCTTCAGTTGGAACCACTGTCGCATCGACAACCGATTCATCTAACGCACCTCCGCTCCCCAATCGCCCTGCTTCTCTCAACTCTACCGTCAATCAGAACGCTGCCAACTACAGCAGGATGAATTCATCCCCTTACAGCTCCATGGGCGGCGCCTACTCGTCGGGCTATTCCAGTCCCTACTCGCGATTCGGAATGGGTGGCATGGGCGGCATGGGAGGCTACGGCGGTGGTTATGGTAGCATGTACGGCGGAGGATATGGTGGCTATGGAGGTGGCATGTACGGCGGCATGGGAGGAGGCATGTATGGTGGTGGTATGGGAATGCCTGGCGACCAAAACAGCTTGACAAACTCATTCAACAACAGCACGCAAGCTACCTTCCAGATGCTTGAGGGCATAGTCACAGCCTTTGGTGGTTTCGCGCAGATGCTCGAAAGCACATATATGGCCACTCACTCCAGCTTTTTCGGTAAGTACTTGCTCATCTCTTGATCCAATGGTATAGTTACTAATATCTGCTAGCTATGGTCTCTGTCGCCGAACAATTTGGTAATTTGAGGGATACTCTGGGTTCAGTGTTGGGTATCTTCACTCTGATGCGATGGATCCGAACTTTGATTGCCAAGATTACCGGTAGACCGCCGCCTGCCGATGCCACAGCTCTCACGCCCGCTGCCTTCGCTATGTTCGAAGGACGCAGCGTTGGTCCCGATGGCAACCCTCTTCCTGCTAAGGCTAGCAAGAAGCCTCTTCTTTTCTTTGTCCTGGCCGCTTTCGGTATTCCTTATCTTATGTCCAAGATGATAAGATCACTTGCTGCATCGCAAGAGCAGGAGCAAAAGCGTCTCCAGGCTCAGGCCATGGAATCACAGCAACCAGTCGACCCTTCCAAGCTCGAGTTCTGCCGACTCACCTTCGACTTCCTTCCCCAACCCAACACTGGTATGGAGCTTGAGGCTCGCAAGGGCGATCTCGTTGCCGTTCTCAACAAGAACGACCCCTCAGGCAACCCCAGTGAATGGTGGCAATGCCGAGCTCGTGATGGCCGCCAAGGTTATCTACCCTCCACCTACCTTGAGGTCATCAAGCGCCCGGCCCAAGAGCCTAAGAAGCTCAAGGCTGCCCCCAGCGAGAACAGCCGCGCAAACTCGCTGACAAGCTCAATTGCCCACCCTGAGGGAGGCAAGGAGTACGCTACAGCCGACGGCATGCAGAGAAGCCACTTCTACTCATAAAATCTCTTGCAACATAAACCGAAACGTCGATAATACCATGCGAAGACGAGAGGATGTACGATTCTGTCTTGGATAGGGCGAAGGTGCATTTGGTGATTGGATTACAAAAGTCATCACGGAGTTGTGGTTGGATTTTTCTTACACATTAGTTCCTAGCGTTCGGGTTCATTATGTCTTGCGATGCCAAGGGAGGTATAATCCCACGAAGATACACATCATATACATTCACTCATCAAGCCGCGGTATAGAGCTTGGTTAGCGCTTTGTTGTATTGCATATTTAATCATCAAAGTCATTGTCTCCCGTGTGAAGTATTGTGCGTTCCAATTGGAAGTTGGAATCAGAGTTCCGGACTTGGAACTTCCAAGTGTCAAGGTCTAAGGGTCTCGTGAGCTAGACTGGACAGCCTCGTAGTCATTACTTAAACCCGAGCTATGGTAGATCTCTGGCCTGACCTTATGCATAGATTGCTTCCCCAGACTTGGCATGGTTCAGGTGTTCCGAGCCGTCGATCGCCCAAGCGTTCCGTGCTGCCGGGCAATATATTCGGTCATGCCTCCGGCACGGACCTGAGTACTGCACGCTGAGATGCAGTCCCAGTATTGGTTATAGGTCAGTGACTACATGTAATGTTTAAGTAGTTTCAAAAGAGTGAGGATCGTAGTTGTGAGTCATCTGGTTGTGTTGAGCGGATCTCTTTACGGTTGTTAACTTGACATATGTATGAATACTAGTATCAACAGATATAAAACATTCCTATTTGTGGGAATATGTCCCGGAGTTATATGTCCTTCTCGCAGCGGAAGCTTCTTAGAGAAGTCCGGACATTGAAATGCATATGTATCACTTACATCGTCCCCTGACTAGACCTGCCTCCCCACATAGCAAAGATGTGAACCAAAACGAACAACAAATCACTTAACCTTTTCTTTCACACTACCGTACGCCGCTCGCCTTTTGATGCAATTCTACTAACCCTCAGCCTCGTACGCATTGGACTTGTGCTTTGGCTGGAACTTGAATGTCGGGTGGACGGGACCGAGGAACATCTCGCTGTGGACACATCTTGTTAGCACTTCGATCAACTGAGCACAATGATGGATTGCAACTTACCTGATCTTGATCCAGTCTCTGAAGTTGTTCGACGCCATGAGGGTCTCCATCTCATCTCGGCCCTCGTACTTGGGAGGACGATCGTTGAGATCAGGAGGAAGATGCTCGAGCAAGCCAATAGGAACATAGCGGTGGGCAAAGCTGAGCCACTCAAGGAGGAAACGGCGAGTGAAGCCGATGCCAAGCTCATCAGAGCCCCAGGCGTCCAAACCGTAGCGCACGAATTTCTCAATGTAGCGGAGACGCTCACTGGACGACTTGTCAAGGTATTGGCCCTTCTCAATTTCTTCGAACAACCAGGGCTTGATGAGGGCACCACGGCCAATCATGACGGTGTCAACACGAGCCTTCTCAATGTGCTCATAGTACTCGACATGGGAGTAGCAGTCACCATTACCGAGGAAGTACATACGGCCATCCTTGTTGTTAGGGAGAGTGCTGGCGTCAGGCTCAGCAGCAGTATCAGTCAGGGCGTCCTTCTCCTTGTTGTAAGTCTTGATGAGGGCAGCACACTCGCTGATGTAGCCCCAATCAGCCTTCTTGGTATATCTTTGCTCACGGCTACGACCGTGAAGGGTAAGGGCAGCACATCCGGGAGCTCCAAGGCGTTCTCTGTGCTCTCGTGCTCCGAAAGCCAGCTTACCAATGAGCTGAGTAGCGGTAGGGCGAGAGTTCCGAATACCAGTGCGGATCTTGGCAGTAATGGGAACCTCTCCTGATACGGCATTCATTCCTCGAATCATGCGCTCCAGCTTGCCAGAGTTCTCAAGAAGGGCTGATCCACCGCCAGACTTGAAGACCATATCAATAGGACAACCGCAGTTAAGATCAATGAGACGAAGGTGAGGACAGTAGCGGTTAAGGACATCGGCAGCCTTTGTAACAACCCAATGGTTATTTCCGGAGATTTGGGCACCAAACTTAAGATCCTTGGAGTTGTCGTAGTCGTCAAAGATGGGAACAGAGCCTGGGTTGAACTTGGGGGGAGTAAGCTCGGATTCGTGAGCCTTGAGGAGCGTCCAGTCGGCCTTTGTTCCTTGAATGAGGGGCATACTTAGAGCCATCTCAGAGTAGGTGAGTTGGGCACCAAGCTCGACGCAAAGTCGACGGAAAGGCAGGTTTCCTTGCGTAGTGAGAGGTGCCAAAGTGGGAGTCTCTGCGCCAAAGTAAAGACGACGCTTCTCGGAAGGCTTAAAAGGGGGGTCGACAAAGCGGGCACGAAGATCCTCAATGCCCTCGTCGGACTGGTTCTTACGACGGTTCATGAACTCCTCGCTCAGCTTGGCTTCCTTATTCATCCAGGTGATGATTTGGTCAGACTGTGTGAAATCAGTTCGCTTACGATTGAGGGCGATCTTCTTGTCCATTCCGACAACATTGTAAATGGCGGGTCGCTTCTCCTCAGATGCCTCCTCTGTAGGCTCGCCATTCTCACCACCATTGGCGGCAGTGCTAATAAGAACCAGTTCCTTTCTTCCATCCTCGTGTTCGACCTCCTTCATGTGGCTCTTAACAAAGCGGCACTTCCAGCCCGCAGGGCAATGGCCGTGGGCCTCGAACACAGGACATTTGCCCTCGAAGGTCTCGACATCACCTCGGCGTCCCTCCTCGAGGTACTTGCGAAGATCGTGGCAGAGGTTGCAGCGATCGCCAAATTTGCACTCTCTGGGTGAAAATTCGGGGTAAAAAGCTCGGCTGTTGCAAAGGCGAAAAGCGTCGTCAAACTTGCCGAAGTCACGCTCTGTATTTTGACCCTTCTTCTTCTTTTCCTTCTTGCCCTTGCCCGACTTTCTGTCACCATTCTGTCCCTCGTTTTCAGCAGTGCCACGCGCCTCAGCAGCATCGTCGTCATTCACGGTATCGGTGGATGTATCCTTGTAGGTTGACATGTCAACGAGATACCTTGCCGGAGTCAGTATACTTCGGTTCACTACAACTTAGGCAACTTACTCCTTCTTGATAGGAGCGACTCCCTTGGTACGTCCATCAACATGTTCCGGCTTGGAGTCCGACTTTGACTCTTCGGTCACTTTTTCCTTGTCACCATTTGTCACATCGCCGTTTTCTTTGGTAGCAGGCGCATCATGTAGGCCCTCTCCAGGCACAGACTCGGAGGGAATCGAGTCGTTCATCTTAACTCGCTTCGAAGCCCTCTCTCCGTCCTCGGCGGATGTTGTGATATTGCTGGCATCAGCCACGAGCTCGGCGTGCTCATGACCTGGGGAGACACCACCCATCTTGGCATCGGGTTGCTCACTCATAGTAATGGTATACTGATGAAGTGAGGGATTCGACGAGAAGTTGAATAATTGAGAAAGTATGTGAAAGTTCGAGGTTTGAAGCCGAAACCACGACTGTAAAAATGAGTATGCGATCTATGAAGTGAGTGGATGTGTGTAAGAGAGCGGAAGGAAAGAGGCAGGTGAGGTTGCACGAGAAAACTTTCTCATTCGCAAACAGTGCAAGTATTCGAGATGCTGCCTTACCGTTTAGACAATCACCAGTTAGGTGCTAGTAAAATAAACTTGACAGTGTTTGCCAGTTGCCCCCGCTGTTAAACGATCAATTGTCAAACTGAGATCGATTGTACATAGAAAAAATTCCTCGATTGGGTCGTCTCAGAGACCAAACCAACCCCAACCTCAGCTGCACTAACAGCTCTCTTTCCGTTCTAGGCTATGAGGTCAGAGGGGGCACAGGCAAGTACCTGGTACTTGCGACACCAGTGAGCCTCATCCCCACAGCTATCCACAGGGGCCCAAGCCTCACTAAGAGCGCTCTAGATTCAGGGCTACAATCGCTAAGACGTACTCGGGTACTTGGGACTCGACAGAAGCCAATTGTCAGACTTGACCCTGGACAGCTCTAACGTTGCATGAATGGTCCTGTCCTACCTGGGCTTTGGCATATGGGGCATTCCTTTACTATCACAATCACCATCAATAGCTCGCCTATCCTCCTTTCCCTCGCTTTACGGCTTTGGCGCATCGTCAATTGGGGTGTTTTTCTGGTTGATTGCTCTTTATCACATCTTATTCGACCACTTGTATACGTATTGTGGTCTTTGCTCTCCCACTTAAGCTCACCTCTTCCCCCACCTCGCCTGGTCCAAGTCACAAGCTCAACGCCTTGTCCACAGGCTATGAAGAAGAACCTACGAAGTCATGGCAGATCCGCGGAGGTCTCCCGATAAATCGCTCCTTAATGCAAGAGGTGCTCAACCACAGCAACGATCGCCGGCTCCAGCACCTCCAGTCCGAGGAGGGAGCTTTGTTGACGACGATTCCGACGATGATGACGAGTCAAGCGACCAGATGCCCTTGCCGAGAAGCCATACGCCAGGTCATCTCGCCAGTAAAAGCATACAAGCAAACCGTCGAAAACCCTCAGATCTTTCTATCCGACAACGCTCCCAATCCGCTTCACAATCTGCTTCAGTACCCCCCTCGCAGCCAGCATTACAACCCGCTTCACAAGGAGCAACCACGAGCTCAAGGACAGCCACTCACAAACCCCCGCCTACCTCATTGAACAACAACGCCGGCGATGCATCGAGCGAGGGGGATAGACGTACTCGGCGACCTACGGCTTCACGTTCGACATCCGCTATAACCAGTCGGACAACTGCGCAAGCTGCCGCACGATATGGAACACATAGATCTCGCATGTCTCAAGATACATACACAGCATATCCCTTACTGCCGGACCCGAAGTCAGCTCCCAAGGTCGACGTGGCGCCAGCATCCGGCATGTACTGGTCCAGGGCGCCCGTGTCGGGTGCTTCCCATACCTCATTACGTGCACACACGACAACTATCATTGGCTCAAACGTTTATGTCTTTGGCGGATGTGACTCAAGAACATGCTTCAACGATCTCTATGTGCTGGATGCGGACTCCTTCCACTGGACTGTCCCTTATGTCGTGGGTGATATACCTGTTCCTTTGAGAGCTATGACGTGTACGGCTGTAGGCAAGAAGCTCATCGTGTTCGGTGGAGGTGACGGGCCTGAGTATTACAACGATGTTTATGTTTTGGATACGACAAATTTCCGATGGACGAAGCCAAGGATCATAGGGGACAAGATGCCATCAAAACGAAGGGCGCATACTGCTTGTTTGTACAAGAACGGCCTCTATATCTTTGGTGGTGGTGACGGAGTCCGGGCTTTAAATGATATCTGGCGACTAGACGTTGCTGATGTCAACAAAATGTCATGGCGATTAGTTTCAAGTTCTGATAAAGCGAGTCCCGGGACCAAAGACTATCGTCCTAAAGCAAGGGGCTATCACACAGCCAACATGGTCGGTAGCAAACTCATCATTTTCGGCGGTTCCGACGGCGGTGAATGCTTCGACGACGTGTGGGTATACGACGTTGACGCGCAAGTATGGAAAGCAGTGGCCATCCCTGTTGCATATCGTCGTTTGTCGCATACGGCCACAATAGTCGGCTCATATCTCTTCGTTATCGGCGGACACGATGGAAGCGAATACTCCAACGACGTCCTGCTCCTGAATTTGGTTACAATGACATGGGACAGACGCAGGGTTTATGGAAAGGCGCCTTCGGGCCGTGGCTATCATGGAACGGTGCTGTACGATAGTCGTCTTATCATTATTGGAGGTTTCGATGGAAGCGAGGTGTTTGGCGACGTTATGCTACTAGAGCTGGCCGTTCATGCGTATTACTCGCAGATCAGCCACTTCACCATCGAGGTGTAATAGCAAAAGTTATTGCAGCTCTTTTCTGGATATATTAGTGTGTTTTACTTATTGATTTGCTGTTATGGGACGGTAACTAGACCCTTAATCAAGGGAGCTAGCAGGGAGTCGACGGTGCAGATCTTTTGTTTAGTATAGAGAAATTTAAGATGCTGGATCATCTTTTGTAGTTTTCTAGATTTGACGTGTGTAGTATTCATGAAAATTCGTGGTATTTTGTTGTCATGGCTAACTATGAAATAATGAAAGCAATTCAAGTTCCACCCAAAACCTGCGCCAGAAGAACCTTCGACGAGGTCATGATGATTTCCACCCACGCCATGGAAATCATAGTAGAAACACACAAATGAATAACTGGCTCTAGTGTTTGTCCAAAAGGGCAATGGCAGGCCAATTTTCCTCTCTGGCTCGACGCTTTATGAAACTCCCGACTCATACCACCATGAGTGTACAATTTTCCCCATTCTTCTCTCCATATAGACTCAATTGATTCGCTTCGAGCGGTATTAATGATAAATGGCTCAAGGTGATTTTGTGATGTGAGATGCTTTTGAGTAAGGCAAGTCTGTCGTTTATGTATGAGACAAAGACTCATTTAGGCCTTGCTTGCTTGGCCTTCCTTCTTTGCGGCCAATCGTCGCTCCTCAGCAGCAACCATATCTATTACACGAATTAGCTTCATTCTCTCTTGCAGAATTGCATATGTAACTTACCCTTCCAGAGGTCCTGGCCCTCGTACTCCTCCTTGTGAATCTTCTTCTCAATGAGACGCTTGTGCTCGGGGTCGTTGGGGTCAACAACCATGACGGTCTGCCAGCGACCCTCACCCTTCTTGGCGTCGTTCACCTCAAAGATCGCAGAGACGATGAGAACTGCGAGAGTAAGGCCTTGGGCGTACACACGGGCCTGGACAACCTTGTTGGCTGTGTTCATGGGCGAGCGGCTGACCATGGCGAAAGCGACACCCATGGAAGCAAGCCATGAGACAAAGACAATCGAGTAACGATTCTCCTTTCCGTACTCCATGAATCGCTCCATGGTAGTCTGGTTCTCGCGGACAATTTGCTGAGCGCGCTGAGTCTGATCCTCATAGAAGTTCATTGGGTTCTGCTTCTTCTGGAAATCCATGGACCAGCGATCGGCGTTGATGATGGCGCCAAATGTACCGGCGGATGTGACGAGGAAGGTCCTGAAGGGAAGAGTGAGGCCGCGGAAAGCAGGGTATCGTCTTGAGGCAAGGGCAACGCCTCCAAGACCGATTGCAAGACCAAGACTGCCTCCGACAAAACCACCCTTGAGGACGGCCGAGTAGTGCGCCTCTTCTTCTTCCTTTGTGAGAATCTTCATGGTTGCGATGCGATTGGTGACGAGAGCGGTTGATTAGGAGGGAAAGACGGTCGCGGGAGTGAGGATTATCTATTCCAAGGCGCGAAAGGTTGAGATTCCAAGATCAAGATCGTATGACGAGGAAACGATAGCAGAGGGTGGGTTGCAGCGCGGTTTAAACCCAGTGTGGGTCAATTCAGCTCTCACTCGGTATTCTGTATCTGTATTCCGTGGTAAGAGGTACCTAGAGAAAGGCGCAAGAACGATAAGTGTATTGGAGTCGCGAGGTTTTGTTTAGTGAGGGAAGTTGCAATGGTTGGTGTTTTCTGCAATCAATGAGCATTCCGAAGCATCCTTTTTTACTTTATCCTGACGTAGGATATACGATATGGCAAATGAATTTTGACGTCGGAATGTACTGTACCTCTTGTCTTGCATGACGGCTTTCGGCCATGAATGATGTCAGACTCTTCCGAAGCCGTCCGGCGCAAACAGTCACCGAACTATGCCCGAGTCGTCGGATGGTTGATAGACAGTGCAGTTCGAACCATCTTTTGTCTGCGAGTTTTTTTCGCATCATTTTGGTCAACATTTGCATGTACATGGACCGAGATGTGCTGATTGTCAATAACGCAAAGCAGAATAGTCAGCAGTAAATCGGCTCATCCGGACAATTCGCCGTGAAGCGAGAGTATTGGGCCATATTGTGTAGCAATTCCCATCATGGATGTACTTCTTATAGGGTCTGTTATAGAACAACAGACCCTGACAACCCGATGTATACTTACATAGACTGGACTGTAGCTTCAGCTTCAATTCAGCTTCAACCCAATCTAGTGAAATCCCTACATTACCCGCGAGCGCGCGTAAAGGGTGGTGGCTGATTAAATACAAACTACAAACCTCACTCGCGCCGCAAAAGGCCGTATTATCTTCATGAGCGGCAGTAATTGCGGCATCTTGCGGGCAGTAGGCTACCCGGTGCGGCAATCATACCCGCCTCAGTTCATTCTCGTGGCATTAGCATCTCCGGCCGTATGATTCAGATTTCAGGGGTGTTCTTCTAGAAGAAATCGATAAAACTAGCGGCTTGTTTCTCGGCATCACCGTCCACAATATCAAACCTCAACATTTCCAATTGAGACATCTGAGATAAACTAACTGACTAATTCTCCGTCAACTTTCGGTGCGTCGGCTTGAAACGGCACGCTCCACCGGCGTTTAAAACATATCTCGGCACGTTTACGTGAGGCCGCCGTTCTAGATCTGTACATTAGGTAGTCTTTCCTATCGCCTCAGCTTGGTTGAGCCTTGTATCTATACCTAAGCCTACTGTACCTGCCTGTTCCTTGAATAGATGTGAGATCGGAGCGCTCCGAAGAACGCCTCATGGCATGACGAGGGGAATGTGCCGGGAATGGTTGAACCCTTGTTTAAATCAAAACCAACATGATCAACAAATGACAGGCACCTATGATTGGCTATTTCGGCAGTGCGCAGAGCTCTTGTGTCCGGTCGTCAGGTAGTCAGGGTACTAGAAAGGTCAGCTGCTACAGATCTGAAAAATGAAATAATTCAGACACTTTACGCCAGCTTGAACCAGTACTTGAGCTGCTTTATTTTGCTGCCCAGACTAAAGAGGATGTTGTTTCTGTCACCTAGTAGCTAGCTTACCCTAAACTTGTCTGCAACTTTTGACGATAAGTTGTCTCATTTTCTCAAACAAAGGAATACTTCCCTTCTCATAGAGCACACTCTACTTTTATCCGTTCCATGATGTAGGCAATAAGCGGCTACGATCGACTGATTTCGAAACAACAACTCTGGAAACGGGATGATAGCTTATAAGTCGAGTTATCAAACAGGTTTGGATAGTCGTGAACGATACTTCGCACACTTCCGAGTGGACTCAGTGCCATTTAGTCGACATAGCATCCCTTCGTGGCTGTTCAAGCTGGTCCGTTTCCGCCTTGTTTTCGACACTTTGGGCACCTCGCAGTATAAGTGCCAGCAAAAGTTGGGCATGATTACAACACTAGACATGCGCATTGTTCAGCCCATGGCCTCAACAACCACATCTAAGATGAGATCCACGAAACACTGGTCCATAGCCCTCATAGGTTCCTGGCGTTAACGTTATCTCTCGATACCCATCAAGTGGGATTATTCATCGCCGGCTCGACTCTAAAAACGTGGAGAAGCTGAACCCGCTGTAAAAGCTCTCGAGCGGTCTGGAATAGCACGATCCGCGTCAACTGGACTCTTCCTTAGAATCGCTCCGCAATTGTCCTGTTTCTTGAGTCGCCTGTGAACGTTGGTATTCCTGTCGTTCATCTTTTGAGGCTACTAACTAGGTAATCAGCCTAAGCCCCGTGGCCGGACTTTGGACGGGGCTACCGACCTCAGTACTGCTCCTAACAGTACCTAGGCAGGTACATACATAATAAGAGTCCTAGATCGATTCCATAACAGTACTAGGCTCTTGGAAAAGTACTTTTCGCTTTGTGACCAATGTGCAACGCGAGGCGCGAGCTTTACCACAACTGGTGGCAAACTATAAACCATAGCAATTGAAATCTGAGGCATTGCTATGATCACCACGGTCAAGACGTAAGCAAGAGCGAAGGTCGAGACAGTGCTTAGGCGGAGGTGCATGTATTCGAACCACTTTGCCGGATGAAAACAACGAGAGCCTTAACACTTTGCTCCGCCGATCAGATAGAGTCTCGGAGTGTATTCAGGAAGTACAACTTTGTAGCTTCGTACTAGGCATAGTACATAGGGCTCTTGGGCTGACTGAGCTTCTATAACCTCGGCAGCCTTGCTTTGGAAAGATCTGCGTTGATAGAGATGATCCAGCCTGAACTGGAAGCTTAAAACACCAACACCGCGAAATAGCATCCCAACACCGCTTGCATGCAAAGCATCAAGCCTACCTGCCAGGAGGGCTGTTGGGCCACGTCTCCCCCCAGATTTACCAGGTTCAGTCATTTCATCATATCCCTCCATACGAAAGCGAAAACCGACTCGTGGAATTACCATCCTTCTGACCGGAAGAATATTCTGAAGCAGTAGTCCGCCGGGATCGTACCGACTTGCTTGAAAGAGCCTCCAGATGTTGATCTCTATGCAAGTACCTGCACGTTGTAGTGCATTTTCGCAAGCTATGATGAAATCAGTGCCATCTGTGATGCAACTCATAAAGTCCTTTGCTTATCGAGATCTGACTTGTGTAATGATTGTCTATAACGACGTCGATATTTTGAATAGCACCCTAGCACTGTCCTGCATCACTAGTTACTGCCAGAAAGCGAAGATCAGCAACGTTAAAGTGACGAAGATCGTGATGACATCAACAGCGCTAGAGAATGTCCGTAGCCCGTACACTTGTACGCAGCATGGTAGGCTCGCGATCTTCTGCGACGCATTGCCTAATGGACTGATTTTTGAAAAAGATAGAAGAACTTGTCTTTTTTCTCTGCACCAAAAGCGAGTGAAGCCGCGATGCAACCACCAACCAATGACACAGTTGCACAAAGAGAGTTCAAGAAGCGACAATATCGACATGTTCGACCTCGAATCTCATAGTTTGGACATCTTGATAGCAGATGAAGCACTTGCTGATCTGTGGAGATCGACTCCATTTAGGAGTGAAAGCAAGATCCGTATTGTTA